ATAAAATTAATTGTATGCGGTTTTTTTTCTACTTCTGCTCGCGCCGTTACGTTTTTTTAGTCGCTAATTTTTTTCTGTGTGCAACGACGGGGTATCTTCGTCTAGGGGCAATTTTTTTTTCAAAGAGGTATGAGATTAAGATAAACAAGACTTTTAAGGTTTTTTTTGAATTCATGCAGTAACAGGTAGATCTTTTCATGTGCGCTTTTTTTGCAGATTTTTTCTTTTAAACTGAACTGCAATATGACTGTTTTTTTTAACAGATCTAGAGAAATTTTCCTTAACAAACACTCGAGCTTTTTTTAGATTTATACCTTTCTTACTGATATGTCGAATTGTTCTCTTTTTTTGACTCTACGTGTTGTAGTTTACTGCGTTGTAACGGAACATTTTTTTTGAAGCGTAGTTGTCGAGCTAAAGAAGCGCTCTCGCTGTTTTTTTTTTACATTTATTTTATGTTGACGGCTGGGACAACAATTTCTGTCTTTTTCATTTCCTGAAACGAAAACTTATGTCGTTTTTTGCTGTTTTTTTAATTGTTACTTCCAAGTAAAGGGGCCGCATTTCAGACCATTTTTTTTTATTTTTTAATAATGTTTTTACATATCGAAAGTTTCACTTTTTTTCGAGGTTTCCTCGTCAATCGGAAGAACGGCAGATTTTTTTTTTTTTTTTTAAAACGCTGTAGGTAATCTAAGTCTACAGACCTACTTTTTTTAATGAGAGTTTCGCGAAATAAATTTACTTTATGTAGTAACTCAGTTGGTGTTATACAGTTGAGTGGGTTAGTTATAATGTGGAGCTAATTTCAACGCGGAAACAGATGCACAGCTAATAAAATTCGGCGTTTTTTTTTTTTTAGTCATTCGGACAGTTGCATGGACATTCCGAGGAATTTTTTTATACTCTTGGAGTTTGAACCACATTCATATATTAATAATTTTTTTTATAATAATAATGAACGTTCTTAATACGCATTTAAGAATCTTTTTTTGCTTACAATAAATAATAAAAATAATAACGATGACAAATTTTTTTTTACAACAATAAAAATTAAAACACTTAAACTACAAAGGTGATTTTTTTCATCACGGAAGTGATATATTTCTTAGAACAGTGTTCAAGTTTTTTTCTGATTCAAGCGATTTGTTTACTTTTATCATTGTTGTTTTTTTTTTCGGAAAAAAACAACAACAATGATAAAAGTAAAGGGCTTATTTTTTTTTATATAATTTACCAATTTATATAGCGCATATTTACATGTTTTTTTCAACAGCGCTTTACATGTTGTTAAGGTTGAGATCGGACGTTTTTTTTTGTTTGTTTGCAGGTGTTTTTGTCGGAGGTGGTTTGTTTTTTTTTTTTCTCGACTATCAATCGCATTGAACTCGTCCCAGATCGTTTTTTTTCGGTACTGTGCTGGTCAGAATGTTATGCATAGACCTATGTGACAGTTCCTCTCCTTGCCAAAGCCCTAGTCTTAATTGCGAGAATTTTTTTAATAGATGTCTGAATTGTCGTCTTTCGGAATCTTCTGGATTTTTTTTGTTTATTTGCGGTGAACTATGCTTAACAGTACGCCCTTCAATTGCGGCAAAAATTCATTCAGTCATTCGCTGTAAAGTGTTGATTTTTTTTCCAAGGTAGGGTGTTGGTATGATTTTTCTTTTGGTATTTTTTTTTTTTCGTGGGTATTCAATCTAATCTCGTTTCATAAGATGATTTTTTTTCGTGTAACTTCTACATTGAGTTTCTATTAGATGTAACTTTTTTTTTATATTTTTATACTACTTAAGCGTACTGTAATTTTTTAAGTTTTTTTCGCTATAGTCACGAAACATTGTGAAACGCAAAGGCTTTCTTTTTTTCTGCGATTATCAATAATCTTGATCTGTTTTTAGGATTGTTTTTTTTATGCGATGATATACTAAGACGGGTCAAGATTACATAGATTTTTTTTAATTTTGTAGTAGTTGAAAATACAGCATAATAACATGAGTTTTTTTTTACTAATACCACTGACATTTATTAATATCGACAATGAATTTTTTTAAAAAGAGAGGAGCTAAAACTTGGTGTAGTTACGGTGAATTTTTTTTAAGTTTATGACAGTATTTGAGATTCTTATTTGGCTTTCTTTTTTTGATGTCGAGTTTTCACTTCAAATGTAAAGTGATCAAAATTTTTTTTACGTAAGGATTGAAACAGCGTAATTAAATGCCAAAACAATTTTTTTGTAGTGCAAAGGAAAAATTACCGTGACGGTAAACTTGGTTTTTTTTGTCTATATAGTTCATGAATGGACATTCAAAACAGGAAATTTTTTTTTGTTCTCCTACAGTTAGAGTAGCTATCTGTGAATTTAGTGGTGGTTCGAAAGCGAGAGCTAATGGGTTAAGAATGAAACTGCATGTTTTTTTTATGTGAACAGCCAGGACACTTTTTAATTTAGTGCCTTGTTTTTTTTGTTACGTGGCTTTAGATGTTGACTCCTACATTCTCACATTTTTTTTTGTAAAGATATGCTAAGTTGCCCTAACTGTATCGAGTTTTTTTTTAAACAGCGATCATTTGGAAACCGGGTGGCGGTCGTCATGTTTTTTTTAAGCAGGTGTCCCGGTGTGCATTATCTTATACAATAGCCTCAGATAATTCCCAGCGTCAGCTAGTCATTTGGGGTCCTATATATGCATGAGAGAAGTCATTATCTCCCAGCGCAAGATTACTGTTGGTTTATTTCATGAAAAAGCTACTCGTCGTAACTAGATAAAGGCTGATAGTTTCGAAAGAAACTGTTTGGGGCTGCGTCGGTGGGGGTAACGAAATAATTTGGATATATCAACAAAGTTGAAATGGTAAATTGGCCGCCGTAACGATTACAAAAGCTGACGTTTCGAACGTTAGCCCTTCGTTGGAGGGCTAACGCTCGAAAGGTCAGCTTTTGTAATCGTTACGGTGGCCAATTTACCATTTCAACTTTGTTGATATATCCAAATTATTTCGTCTTAACTTTTTTTTTGAATTGAGCTATCTCATAACTTTATTTAGATGCTGTGGTTTTTTTAAATGTTTTTCCCTTTTGTTTTTAGTGAGGTTGTATATATTTTTTTCTTTGTGTTTCCTAGTTTAGAAAAAAAATACAACGTGCCTTTTTTTGAGGTTATTTAAAAGTTTTTTCCTTTTGAAATTGTGTAGTTTTTTTAACAGTATTGTCTCTTTGAGAAGCCTCTGCTTGTCAGTCTCACTTTGAAATTCTAATTCTTTAGACATCATTTAAGTAATCAATTTTTTTTTAAACTTTGGTCATCTAGCTTTCTGTAAAAAGCACCGAAATTTTTTTATTTATTGATTGTAATATCGTGGTAGTCATTTTACCTAATTTTTTTACTGTTCGAAAGTGAAAAAAAGATTCCTTTACCTTGAAGTTTTTTTCCACTGTTGATATTGTTGTATTTACTGTGTTATAAAAATTCGAATTTTTCTTTGGTTCTTTCTTTGTTTCCAACTAAAAAAAAGGTTTTTTTTTTTTGGAACAGCCATGCTTCGTTTGTGAGTTACATGTTTTTTTTTGTGCACTCCCTATTGAGGCACATATCTGTGTGTTTTTCATTTTTTTAAGTTTTTTATTCATTAGGATCACAGCCAATTTAAGCTGTATCTTTTTCGGTGATTTTTTAAAAGGACAAGGGCTCATCGTTTCATTTTTTTAGTATTACTTAACTATACAACTGAACATGTTTCCAAGCTTTTTTTTCGTAAATAACACTAGCTGGTTTCTTTATCGGTAACAAAGGAATGTTTCTTTGCTCTGGGACAGGACTTTAAACGATACCTTCCCATTTTTTTCTTGGACCGCTGAAATTTTCAGAATTGTGCACACATACAACGAGTGTAGAGTCTCTGTGTTATGTCGCCCCTAGCAGATTAAATTTTTTTTTTTGTCAAATTATTCACTTCTCTGCTAGTCAGGTTGGATTCAGCTTTGTTATTTAGCACTTGATTTCACTTTGATTAGCAAGCTGTTTTTTTTAGGAGAATATGGTTTTGCTGTGGCAAGTGTTTGCTTGTATTTTTTTCATTGTGAAAGATTTTTCAAGCCACATTCTTTACGGTGATTTTTTTCAAATCAGTTATTTGCTGTGGCTTTTGCACGAAGGAAATTTTTTTTAGATATTTTTCGCATTATTTCAGTATAAAAAGTGCACTTTTTTTTTAGAAATCACTATAGAATGTGCCCTTTGTACAGTTTCACCGGTGGTTTCTTTGCAGCTACCGAGTATTTATATCGATTTTGATAACTTTTTTTAACTACAATATATCATAATTTTTTGTTGATTTTCTGTCATTTTTTTCTCAAATATTCACTTCATTCCTCTAAAAATTTTCATGAATTTTTTTTAGTTGTGTTTAATGCATCAGACAATTTTTCTCCACTTTTTTTTTTGCAAAGTTTTTTTAAATTGTAACCTTAACGATTTTAGCAAACTTTTTTCTTCCACCGAGTGATTTATTCAGAACATGTAATATTTTTTTTTTTATCCTTTAGATTATTACTAACAGTGATTATGGTCATTGTTTTTTTCAGTTGTTTTTCTTTTTTTCAATTTCATTAATAGTTGTTTTTTTTTAGTAGTTTAGATAAGTATGACCATACGTTATCGTTCGATTGTATCGTCAGATCAAATTATGGAGCTCTAGTCTAAATTTATTAGTTTTTTTTGCCTCTGGGATCTGAGAAAACTCCTAGGAAAATCTGAGTTTTTTTTATAACTTGATGTAATTCATGTTGTTCTCCTAAAATCTAGTTTTTTTTGTCAATGTCATTGTATGAAACAGTGTCACCCAAGGGGGTTTTTTTAAGCGGTTAGTCGGTATCGTTTTAACTAATTCCTCACCGTTTTTTTCTTTAGCTGATATTGATTTGGGTAGAACTCGGTAAAACTTTTTTTTTTGCAGTTAAAACCAAACAACAAATCACTGACCAGGCCGTTCATTTGTAGGATTGCAAAGGGCTCATCACACGTGAAGTGCTTTCTGATTGGCCAACGTATTGTGCTCTGGATTACTTCAAACAACTTTCAATAAGAAAAGTGTAAGTTTCATTCTTTTCCTTGAATGTAGAGGTGATGTGAATTAGAGATAAAAGTAATCGTTGGAGTGAGTGTCTAACGGCTTTTTTTGGACAAACCCTGATATGGAAAGCCTATATTGCTTTCCATGTCCTAGCGATTCGCAAATCGCATAGCAGTTGCTTCCTAATTTTGTTTTTTTTTCTGAATTTAAAAGTTCCTTCATTTTCCTCCAGGAGAAATTTTTTTAGCAAGGACTCTGTAGAAAGAGAATTGACGTTGAAAGAGTTTTTTTGCACAAATCACTTTAAGCTAAATTTTCAAAATGTAATCAACTTGTTTTTGAGGTTAAAGAATTGTCGTGACGTCAAACCATTGTTTAGACAAATCCAAGCAAACGAACTGTTTTACCAATAACAGCACTCGTTTTTTTGCAATATGGTAGGTTATGGAAGAATTTTCAATAACAGTCTTTTTTTAATAATTTTATGTACCAACTCGTCAATACGCCAACAGGATTTTTTTGTTTCGTCTTATCAGTGTATTTAAGTTTTCGTTTTATTTTTTTTTTCGTGGCCAGTAGTTGTGATTGCGCCTCCTGAGCAGGTAATTTTTTTTTTGTATTCTACGAATTACAATGTACATAAAGTTTTGATTTTTTTTCAGAAATACAGCTGGTATTGTTTTTATGTATGGTCCATTTTTTTTTCTGCTTTTTCTTATAAATTTTATTTGCTGTGATGAAATTAGTTCTGTCAGGATGCGTTTGGCTTCAACTCGAAGTTTCTCGGAGGTTTTTTTCCTTATTTGATTATTCAAGGAGTAGTTGGTAGAAATCAATTTTTTTCGAAACAGTGTCACGGTATTGAACGTTGAACTTCGTTAGTTTTTTTGGGAGAAACACGTAAAGCCGGTACTCGGAATATTTGTTGTTTTTTTTGCCTTGGACTGTGGATGTCGAGAAAACCTTCCAAGAGATTTTTTTGTCGAGACTGTGTAAGAATTCGAATGATCATGGCAGGTGTTTTTTTAGGAGATGACCTTGAAAATTATCGGTGGATTGGTAATCATTTTTTTTGGTTGGCTTTTCTTCAAGAACAATCGCGCTTAAAATCGTTTTTTTGAACGACTGCGGAGAAAGCAGGTGAATTTATAGACGACCTTTTTTTCAACAAATTTCAAACAATACTGCGGGCAAATGTGTTAGAGGGAATTCCTTTCGCATTTAAGACGAATGCTTTTATCGGGTGGGAATTTACTTGTTATAGTTTACAGCATTTTGCCAGGAAAGTATGCACACTTTTTTTTTATTTTGTAACTAGACAAGTTTCATTATTCTTTTCCTTTTTTTTTCCAAACATCGTGTACGAAATTGATTCAGTGTAAATCATTTTTTTTTAACGGCGATGTTTCCTTTGTTTGTAATTGCTGATCAGTCTTTTTTTGGTTTTGATTTTTTTAACAATCTGTTTCCGTACTGTGGTTTTTTTTAGTAATTATATCGATAAGTTTCACTTGTTCAAATGAAAATTTTTTTAAGCTAAGTCTGAAATTAGGAGCTTGTGAATTTGATTCATTTTTTTATAAGTAAAGTTTCTTTAGACTACGTCGACCTTGTAATATTTTTTTTTGAAGTGCTTTCACTTGCACGTCATTATTGGAATTTATTTTTTTTAAAATTAGCCGTCTAGACAAGATAATCATGTAGCGCATACGAAGACTGGCGCACGGAGACAGTTTATTTCCTCTCGCCTTAAAATTTTTTTTCTACTCGGAACTAGGAGAGATTGACATATTTGTTGTCAATTTTTTTTATTAATTGTGGGAAGGGGGATTTTTGTAAGCCCAATTTCCGGTTTAATATGTCTTAGAGGGAAATTCCACCAGCTGTTCTTGCGTAAGTAATGATATTTGCTCAATTCTAATTTGCTTCATCCACATTATTTTTTTTTTTATCTTTGAGTAAACACACTATGAACTCTCGTAATATTTTTTTTAATTCATGGTTTTATCTAGACACCAATCAACAGCTTGTGTTTTTTTAGGAGATAAGTTTTCTGTTTCTGTAGAGAGCGGAATTTCTTTTTTTAGGGACTTATAGAAAGGTCTGGGACCAGAGATCTTGCAATTTTTTTACTTCAATTTTACTTCAATGATTCCTTAGTTTAATTACATTTTTTTTTATTATTTGTATGGCGCCTTTTCTATGAACAAGCGCGTTTTTTTTTATCCTTTCTTGGGGTTGTTATTTTGGCATAACTTGTTTTTTTTTTAAAACGATGGTTTCGTTATGCGGTAATCACCAGTGTGGATTTAATTTAGGCTCATAGGAATCATTTGCTTGTATTTCCCTTATATTTTTTTTATGGTTCGGACTGATGCCTGCAGGTTAATAATGATAATCTTTTTTTTTCGAAGAATGGTGCTGTGTACTTTAAATTTGTATTTGATTTTTTTGGTCGTTTCAGCATGCGTGCTTTTTCATAATTATGGGAATTTTTTTGGAGTGCTCACCGCTTTGCTGTAGATGCACGAATCTTAGTTTTTTTTCGACTGACGAAAGTTCCCCACAGGAATAGCACCGATCCTTTTTTTTTACCATCAAACTTAAAGACAACTTAGTCAGGAGTAAGTTTTTTTTTATGTAATTTTCAGTCCGCAGTATCTTGTATTTAATTTAGTAATCCGTCCCTCTACTACCAGTTTCTTCTATGTGAATCCAAAAGTTTTTTTGGGTGACTCGATAACCTCGCGGTTTTCGTAGCCTCCATTTTTTTTTTATGGAACACTGTTACCTTTAATTTTTTAGTATGTATCCTTTTTTTTTTTTTTTTTTTTATGTTAATATTGTAACTAAAACGTGAGTGCTAAATAAAGTAAAGTTGAAAGTTGTATTAATATTGAGATTTCTTTTTTTTTCAGGGCCATGTTTACGGGCCTTAACTTTGACATACAATTTTTTTATTCTTCATTTTTCTGAATATGGAAGCGGACGAAGCGAATTTTTTTGAGAGAGCTCTATTGTGCGGCTGGAGATCGTTCAGACCTTTTTTTTTTCAAAGACTAAACACGCCAAAATGGTTTCTTGTGTTTCTTTTTTTATACTCTTTCATGCAAGGTAAGACAACTCTCCTCGAGAATTTTTTTTGGTTTTGTTCCTTTGTTATCTTTTCACTCTTTTCTGTGTTTTTTTTTAAGATTGAACTGATTGTTTCAGTTTATTACTGGGACCTTTTTTTCCTTATTACGCTAACCAACCACCTCCATATGGTTCTGAATTTTTTTTCGCAACTGTTGTTGACAAATAAATTTGAACTCCACATCGACAGTTCGTTGCTTTACTTGTCGTTTGTGAAGTCTGGGGAAAAACTTTTTTTCAAATAGATTTTCTTCATACAGAAGAGCACTTAGGCACTTTTTTTTGAATCGCACCTGACAAGCATCCCTTTTAAGGAAAAGAGATTTTTTTTTCGTCTCTAAACACTTGGTAAACTGAGTTGGAACTCTTTTTTTTTAAGAATCTGATGATCGGAAATGAAAATTTGAATGTGGGTTTTTTTTTTTTAGGTATGATTGTGACAGGTCTAACGGCTGCTGGTCTTTTTTTGTTGGAGAAGAGATTCAAACTCACCAGCAAACAGACCGGTATGATTGTAGCAGCAAATGACGTCTCTGCACTGATTCTGATCATCTTTATTAGCTACTTTGGAGGTCACAGGAACAAAGCCCGCTGGCTGGGCATAGGAGCATTAGTAACTAGTCTGGGATGTTTGTTGTTCGCCTTTTTTTTTGTCCTTGTCGGCAAGTACACCCCTCTTGAACTTGAAACGTTTTTTTGCATACAAACTTGTTGGTTTAACAGTACAAAGATACCTATTTTTTTCGGTGTGTGCGCTGAAGCCAAAGGTTACACAGCTTGGAATTTTTTTCTGGTTTTTGTGGGGGCTAAGCTTCTTTTAGGGGCAGGATTTTTTTCTCTGTTTACGCTTGGCCCGGCTTATATCGACGAAAATGTTTTTTTAAAGGCAGCGCCCATGTATCTTGGGGTGTGGTTTATAGCTTTTTTTTTTGGTCCTGGAATTGGTTACGTAGCAGGAGGGTCCCTTCTTAATGTGTGGGTGGACCTGATTCAGGTGAGAGAAAAATTGCTGTTTTTTTTCATAATGTGGAAAGTCTTAACAAGACCAAATATTGCTAGTTTTTTTTTTTATCGGTCATTTTTCTTTTTTTTTTTTTTTTTTTTGTTTTTTTATTCTTTGTATCGCTCCGTATTTCACTGTCGTCCTGCAGTTTTTTTAGTGGCTTAGGGACACAGTGCCAATTTTTACTTTTTTTTTTTTTTTTACCTTAAGTGTCTCGGAGAGAATTGTAGAAAGTACAGATTTTTTTATACCTTGTTTTGATGTGCAATGATGGAATTACATTATCTTTTTTTTGATGGAATATTTTTCCAGCCTCCTGGAGTTGACTTGACTTTTTTTGATCCCCGCTGGATTGGGGCCTGGTGGCTAGGGTACTTTTTTTTTTGTCTACTACTGTTATGTACCTCTATAGCACTTCTTGGTTTTTTTTTAGAGATGCCAGGAGCCCGTGAACAAAGATTAGCTGCTATTTTTTTTGGACTTTTGCCGCCTCGTGATGAGCACATTCAGGGCCGATTTTTTTATATTTTACCAGCCACCAAATCTATCCTTACTAACAAAATTTTTTTGTTCAATACTTGCGCCTTTTGCTGTACAACACTCATCGCTTTTTTTCTGGGACCTTTTGTGTCGAAGTTTATCCAGTCGCAATTTTTTTTTTCTTCCTCAACGGCAGGTGAGTGTAGAATTCAGACAAACAAAAGTTTTCTTGGAAAATTCTTGAGAATCGATGTTTTCCGTAAGGGTTTTTTTTTCTCTTGAAATAAAATCTTTAAGTTTGACAGCGAAAAGTTTTTTTTGAGGAATTTGAAACTGTAATAATGATAATAATAATAATTTTTTTTATAATGATAATAATAATAATTTAATATTTATATTGCGCATTTTTTTATGTGGATATGATCAAATGCGCATCACAACACTTTTCGGTTTTTTTTAGCGGGGCTGCATCAGCAGTTTACAAACAATCGAAGGATTTTTTTTTGAAGATCCCCCCTCCCCCCCAATTCCCAGTAAACAGGTTTTTTTACATCACAGTAATCTCGTGAGTGGGTTCTTTAACGTCCCTTTTTTTACCAAATTAACTAATTAATAGATGCAGGATCCCTCCAGATTTTTTTAAACGAGGGACGTACAAGAGGTAATTTGGTTTTATAAACTTTTTTTATAATGTAAATTGGCCACCGTAAAGAGTTTGTAGGCTGATTTTTTTAGTGCTAGCCTTTCGTCAGAATGACGAGTATCAGGGCCGTTTTTTTGCGGAATGAGTAATGGCGGTGTAATCAACTCAAACCATATTTTTTTAGACAATACAAATCTTTTTTTCGCAGGAATCCTCTCTGGTTTTTTTATCATCCCAGGCACTGCTGGCGGTATATTCCTGGGCAGTTTTTTTTTCAAGAGAGTTGATGTCAGACGGTCGTGTAAGATGGCTGTTTTTTTCTGCTTCATCTTTCAATTTATTGGTACTTGGGCTGTGCTAACTTTTCTAATTCCCGGTTGTAAGACGACGCTGCTAGCTGGTATTTTTTTTTCTTACAACAATAGGTAAAGAGACAGTTCTGCATCATACATTTTTTTATAACGAGTCTTACGAATGAGGATTTAGTTGTAAACTGTTTTTTTTGGGGTTTGTGGCATGTTTAATAACTGGTTTTCATTCTCGTTTTTTTTTGTGTAGAAAAATGCATCATGCGGTGGTGCAATTTTCACTTCGTTGCTGCTTTCAATTTTTTTAAAGCTTGAATGACGGAAGTGCTCTGTTTGGAATTATGATATTTCCACAATTGCCATTTAGCTTACTTTTTTTTTTCCTTGGTCCTCATTTGGGTTTAAATTTTCACTTGCTTTTTTTTTAAGACCTCACTGAAGGCCGCTGCTAAAGGCGAAACTTGTTTTTTTTGATGAAGTATGAAGTATTTCTCTCAGTTTGGTGGTCAAATTTTTTTTTTGTTTTATTTGTGTTTGTTTTCCCCTCCTCAGAGCTTTTTTTTTGCCTGTTGTTTTTCGTTCATTTTACAGCACTCTTGTGGATTTTTTTAAGTCTTCTCCTTGTAACAACCTGTGTCATTGTAACAGCTTTTTTTATGACCCCGTGTGTGGAGTCGATGAGGTGTCCTACTTCTTTTTTTTCCATGCTGGCTGCACCAAAAGAATTGTAAAAGATGGAAATTTTTTTGTAACCGACAAAGAGGTAGAAACAACGTTAGATTGACTCCTAACTTTCTACTTGAAATTTGTCGGAAACTCAATAGTAATTGACTTTTTTTTTGACTGACCTGTGGATTGGGTCGGCCGGTTGGCTGGCTGTTTTTTTCGCTAGCTGATCTGACAGATTGAAGGGCTGTTGACCAGCTTTTTTTCTAACTAGGCAGCCGGCTGGCTCGCTAGCGGATCTGACATTTTTTTTGACTATTGACCAGATAATGCACTAGCCAGCCGGGTGGCTTTTTTTCTAGTTTGCTGTTTGGTCTAACAGGCTGACCTCATACTGTTTTTTTGACTACCTGACCGATTGACTGACAAACTGACCGATTGGTTTTTTTTTTAAGTGATAAATTGAGAACTGACTGATAGATGTGTGTATTTTTTTTTTTGACTGGTTGGTTTTCATCGTTACGCTGCAGATGTATTTTTTTTGCCGTTGTATTTCGTCCCCAGACAGTACCGTTCGTTATTTTTTTTCTGCACAAGGAACATGTGACCGAGACTGTAAGAATTTGATTCCATTTCTGTTCGGCGCTGTGGTCTTACTAATCTTCAATTTTATTTTTTTTACGCCCAACAAAACTGTGGTTTTGAGGTGGGTTCCTTAATTTTTTTCATCGTGTCAAAGCGCTTAAAGCCATTTTCTATCTGCCTTTTTTTTGAATTAAGATATTTCCCAAGGAATCGTTGCAATTTTATGTTTTTTTTGTTCTGTTTTCTTGAGTAAAACAGTTTTTTTTTATGATGAGGATATAATCTTTGTCTTAAGGTTTTTTCATTTTATCCGTGTATTTTTTTTGATCATTTTTGTTTTATTTCTTGACCTTTTAGTAGCTTTTTTTTTTTTTGACGTGATCTCTATCAAGCTTGCCAAATCACTGAGATTTTTTTCACTTCAAACCGGTCTCAATACGTCTGGCTTTAACTGTATTTTTTTCACACATGAGAGGTTGCACATGGCCTTTGCGACAAACGGTTTTTTTTGAACTTTGAGTCGCCTGCACTCGACTGTTGCACTCTAGTTTTTTTGTAAATTGAGCTGGAGTTCGATTTCACCTTAAACCTCATTTTTTTTCTGTTAGGTTAACCGTTGTAAATAGGTTACATGAGGTTGTTTTTTTACGTCTGCCAATAACTGCGAACTTGGTTTCCACGGCTGAACTTTATATTCTATTTCAGATGCGTGCCAGATAATCAACGGACATATTTTTTTGGTCTGCAGTGGCTTTTTCTGAGTATGTTTGGTTCTTTGTTTTTTTCTGTTATATTCGGTGCATTTATTGACAAGACCTGTATCTTTTTTTTAGAGACGTGTAGCGGCAGAGGAAGCTGCCTGGAGTACAACAATGAACTTCTAAGCTATTTGTTGGTAGCGGCAGGCCTGTTCTTTCAGGGTGAGTCTATATTCTTTCCTTTTCTGGGCTGCCCACGCATTTGTCATGCTTGATAAAGCCTGACGGTTGAAAGAACCTAAACTAGTAAGGCATTCTGATTCGATGCGTGCTGATGTACGTTTGAAAATGTGCAACACGCCCCGACCTGATGATTCTCCAAAAAATATGATTAATTTCAATAACAATGTTTGTTAAGATGATTATAATATGATATTTCATTTGTAGTTCTTTCAACGGCCCTTTACTTTGGTTCGTGGTTCTTCTGCAAGTCACACGACCCTCTTATCCCTGGTATCCTGGTTGTAGGTGATTCAGCCTCGTCTCAAACTCGCCTCAGTCCTCCACAGACACCAGTGCCTGGTTTTGAATTCCGCCAACAGCGCCAAGCGGCTGGTCAGCAGGCTCTTCCAGAGGGAGAAGCTCTTGCGCAGGCTGATCACGACAGAGAAAACTCGTCCCCAGTTCCTGGCTTCGCGAGGTATGAAGCTGATGATGACAGCGTGTACCTATCATTTACAAATGCAGGTGGAGAAAGCCAAAGTAGTTTTCTACCGATCGCTCAGATTGAGTCTTCCATTTGAGATAGATAGTATTTTGTGTTAGAACACATACAAAGTGTAGGTTTTATTTTCACTTAGCAATTTGACAAATAATCACCCCAAGAAGAAATCCATCAATGTATGAAAAAGAACATTTCCAGCGCGTTTTCAAATTCTCGTACATCCTTCTTACTATTTGTAAGATCCCGAAAGTAAAAGTAAGATTTTAGATAAAAAAAAAAAAACTCGTGAACAAGGTACTCGCCAGGTACCAAAACATCTGAATATATTAATTATTTGAAAAAACACCACAAAAAATTACGTTTCTTTGGCATGCTGTTAACAGGAATTTCATCTACAGCAGTTTTATAACCGCTGCTTGGTCAAACGATGTTTGTTTGTATCCATTGGTCCTGTTAGGGGTTTTGAAGGGAAACCTTTAGTTAGCTTACTAGTTTCCGATTACGGCCAAGGTGTGGTAACTTAAAACAAATTATTCGAGTCAAAGAAAGATTTTCCTAAACGATCAATTTGATCTAAAATCGAAATACAGTAGAACCTCGATTTAGCGAAGTGCCAAGGTACTGGGGAAATTGATTATTTATTTAGGTGCACGTCATGTATTTCGTTGTTTCAATTTTATATTTGTTCCTTGGTTTATTATTTCTTTTGAGTTTTTGTTACTTTGTTGCGCTTGACTTTTTTTTTTTGTACATTTACTTATCGTCTTTTTTTAACAATGCATTTTTTTTAGTTTATTTTTGATACAAGTGACAGTTTAGATTCAGATTTTTTTTTTGAGGGTGAGTCGGTGACACGTGCTTGAGTCCGTGACACGTGCTATCTCAAGGGGGGTTATTTGTTTCTAAAATCTAATTTAGGGTTATGTGGAGCATCAGATTCACTGATTTAATGCATCAATACTAGCTAAAAATTGTGCGAATTTGAATTCATTTTCCTCTCACCCTTAGGGCTTGTCAGGGGTTCTCATGCGGGATATAAAATTGATATAGACGGTTTATCCAGTTGGTGAACTGTTTTTCTACTGGTCTGTCATTTGCTTCTCGTAAATTTGTGATTTCGTTGTTTTCTGTACAATTTTCTCACTTTCCATTCTTGAAAGGACTTTTACTTACTTTGTAGAATTTGTCATTGTACATGGAATCTAAGGGGCAACATAGTACATCGCGATTTGGGAGACGCACTTTTTTTTTTTCATAGTTTTATTATCCAACTACACCTGGACGAGTACGAATAACGCCATAGACGAGTACAAATATCACGCGGTATTTGTACTTTTTTTTTGTAGTACCGGTTAAACTGGTTTTCTCGCATCGCGCAAGTTTTTTTTTGGATTGTAGTTACGGGAAAAAAAAAAGTGGCGGACAATTTTTTTCATATTTCCGACGACGAAGAGTCAGAATGGCTGGCAAATTTTTTTTCAAGTTCATNTGTAATTATAGTTTGTAGATATTCATTATGAGAATATTTTTATAAGTGTAATATAATTTTTACTATTGTTAGTCCTATTCATACATATATCTTATTAACCAAGCGCGAGGGCCGTACTGGGAGAATATCGGCCCGAGGTCTTGACAGTACGGACCGAGCGCAGCGAGGTCCGTACAAAAAAGACCGAGGGCCGATATTCTTCCAGTACGGTCCCGAGCAAGCTTGGTTAATAAGAGATTTATTATACGACTGAAGTTCAAAGGGACACAAGTGCGGTATCATTCGGGACCATTCGGGACAGTACCCGGTCCAATACTTAGAGAATATTGGACCGGCAATAGAGCATTTTGATTGGTTAATTTTAGTTATTGGCCCTCTGACTGCCCGAGTCGTGTAATAATCAGCGATACTACACAACAAAACGTCTAATAAGATATATGTATTCAACGCGTAGTTAAAATTATAATAATGTAAGCAATTATAATAATTACAATCACCACAAGAATTGTATAGTAGAATATTGTAAACGAGGGAAGCACGAGCCTGCATTAATAGCGCGTTATACGCTGAAAAATGTTTTTTTCTTGGTCGTATCGTGCTGGTCAAAAGTAACAGAGTCACTGTGCTCATATTTTTTTTCTGCTTTACAGATTACTTTTCATGACTCTTTAATTTTTAAAAGTGCGCACTTTGACAACGTACTTGTTCACTTTTTTCATGGCCCAATCTTTCTGTCGTCCCTCTGAAAATTCTGTGGCTTTTTAATTTTTTCTACTACACTTCGGGATCTATGTGTGAAATGCCGCTGTGAAGCCCTAGCGAAGGCTCGTGCTTTCTTGATTTCAAGTTTACTGGTTTATATGAGGTACAAGTCAGTGATCCTGTATGAGAGGCATGCGCGCTGGCGCGTTGTACCTCTCGGGCCTTGTCTTGTAAATCTTTGATGCCAGGAAACAGTTCAAACAATTTAATTTTTTTTCAGTAGTTTTCTATCAGTTGATACAATTAAATAATTTCTTCACCAGGACATTCTAAGCTGTGTTTTGTGCGTGTGTGCGAGCGTGCGTTAGTTAATGTAGCTCGTTTATTTCTTGGGAATGGTAACGTTTCACAGTTGATTAGCCTCCCAACAATTTGTGAGGGAGTTCTCCATTGAGCATAATTAACTTTTACTGGAACAAACATTTGGGAACACTCAGTCATTGAAGAATTTTGCTAAGGTAATAAATCAATCAAATAAGCTGGAGGCCTTGTCTGGAGACTGTTTAGTTGTGGGCAGAGTGAAATTTTTAGGTACGTTTGAATCTTTGTAACCTTGAGATGTTGCACCACGCAAAATCTTCAACGGCCAATTTATTGCAGAAAGGCTACTCTCATGTACAATAATCATAACAATATGTCCAAAGCACTGATCATTACTTTCGTTATTTATATTACTTCCATTTTTAAAAGGTAAAAAAATTAAAATTCACCAACGTAAAAAAGACATTTGGAAGTCAGTTGAGTGAAGTGGTATTTGGTAAAAACTTTAAAAAAAAAAAAATGAAAAGAGGTCCATAAAATGTTAAGAAGTACTCCATTTCATAACGCAATCTTTGTAAACACGACTTGCACATCGTTCTTCGGGCGTGACACAGGAAGCCATTTATAGGTCAAATCTTGACCAGGTACCAGTTCCCACTCGTATGACTGGAGAAGATGTCTTGCAAGAAGCTGCAATAAAATTACAAATACTAGCTTTGACCATAAAATTTAATACTTTGCAAAAAAGTTAAGTTGATACCCAATCAGCATAAATATCTCCTTCAATTCACAGCCATTCTTTAAGATGTCACGCAATGGCAGGGCGGGGGAGTGTGACATTTTTAGGAATGTACGTGATAGAGACTTAAGACTCTGTTTGCCCTTTCTTGATCCAGAGTACAACACTGATATAAAGGACCACATCCAACAAAACATCAAAAGTGGGAATCAAACCTTAATAATCTTGTGAATAAACTTATGCCCCACGCACATCCGGGGACCTGATCCAAATGTCCACACACGATCCCTGTCTAACTGGTTACTGTAGAACAAGAAATTAGCAAATGAAAAACCAAAACTGACAAAGTCTTGCTGCAAAAGTTATGGAAACAAATACTACCATAGAAAACTAAATTGAGTTTGAGCTTTCTTTTCATAAACTCACCAAGTGTCCCATCTTTCAGGTAAAAACTTTTCAGCTTCAGGAAATATTTTTGGGTCACAGTTGGCTGCTCTTGTGAGAATTCCTACATAGTGACCTGCTGGAACCTTATAACCATCTATTATTACTTCCTGGAGGAAGAAGGATAAACAAAGGGAAAAAAAATAAGATTAACTTTCAGTTACAGTGGAATCATACAAAGTACATCTATACAACCACACCCACAACTATGTCAGTCCCTTAAATCTTTGGTTTACAGTCTTCTTACTATCACAACAGCTATAACAACTTTTTTGGTTCCACTGTCATTTTGATCTTCATTGCTTCACCTTGATAATACCACCACAGGACTGGGTATAATTTTTGATAGAAGTTTAAATTTATAATCACAGTCTGTGGTTGGTAAGTCTTTTAATGAACTGTTACCATAATTTCCGGCTGTTTACCTGCACAGCCGATTACCTGCACCGGCCGATTATTGCATGCAGCGGAAAAAAAAGTCAACAAATCACCCGCACTGGTGGATAACCTGCACCTTAAAAGCAAAGGAAATTTGTACAAAAATGCTCTAGAATTCACAACATTGCATACTTGACAGAATGCTCTTTGTGTGATAGTGGACATAATCAGTGCTAATAACATTCTGCTTTTAAGGCAATTAATAAACTGAGTTTTCAAACCATGCCAGTTAGCTCTAATTCAAGACTAAATCAAGACTAAAGTGGGAAAACCGCACCTGTTTTGCAAGTCTTCGTCCACCAAGGAAGGGTGGCCACATGCGTTTTATCTCTAAAAGCACATTTTCCAGATACCTATCATCCTGGGCTGCTTTGATTCTCTTCTCAAGCTGGCAAATCAGTCATGACAACACAAATCAATTGAAACTGAATACACAGAAGGGGCAGGGTTCCACTAGCTGACTGACTAATTAAAAGGGTAAGTTTCTAAGGAAACTGTGGTGTTGCATAGGTGGGGGCTATTACAAGATAATTTGGTTTTATCAATTAAGTTGAGAATGTAAACTGGCCACTGTAAAGATTTTCTAAAGTTGCTGATTCAGGCATTTAAGCCCTTCATCCGAGCTAATGAATAACCATCACTGACCATGGAATTACAGTTATAAGAACACTGGAAAGTTGTTCCATTTATCTCTCAGTTGACACTATTAACAATAACTTAAAAACGCCAAGTCACATGGCCAAAAAATTTTTCACAGTAAACTCAAATGCAGTCTCCAGATCTCTTTGACCAACAGCTTGATGTTATAAGCACTTTAGGCACAGCTAACTTCTTGTTATGGCTTTCCACTACTGAATTCTTGTTTTGTAACAAAACCAGGAATTCAAACACACTTTAGTCCACTTTCAAACCAACCTTAAGCAAAATCAAATTTCATAATAGTTTCAATTTGAAGCAAAAATGTTGCCACTTTTTTACACTCTCCTTCCCTGTTTATTTTTCATTTGGTTCCCTCCTTTCCACTTTACAAATTGCTACAGAAAGTGTAAAAACAGTTAGAACCAACTGGATGAAAGGGAAAACTTGACCTGTGAAAATTGAGCTTTGTTTTGTACACTAAATGGAGTGAGAGAAACCTCAAGTAAATATTCACTGGGATGTATACTTACATTCTCAGGCTTGGCAAGCTCAATGCAAAAAGATGTCATGAGGGAGGCCAATGCTTTGGGAACCAGAGCTGACACAAATAACAAAATGTGATTTGCCATTTCAGTCTTGGATTCAAATTCTGATTCTCTCATAACATTTATAAACCTGAAAAAAAAATTAACTCTTCAATAACTAAGGATTTTTTGAAAGGTTCAACTGTCTTTTTTTATACTTTAACTCATTTAACTGTAAGAAATTCCCTACTGATGCACTCACCCATTCTTTTCCTCTGAGAGATGTTTAGTGATAATTGTCAACAGATTATTCTACAAAACAAATAAAATATCAATTGGTTAGTTACCAACAGCAGGATAGCTACATATATGTAAAAAAAAAATACAAAATTACATAAATTACATAAAATTTAAAAAACACCATCACAAAGAAATGCCATAATGGCATTTCTTTGTGATGGTGATTTTCCCTCGTCATTGTTTGCCTATGAACTAATCTTCTTTTTTGTAAATTAAGGGAAAAAAGGTGTAATGTGGTTGACTATAACAATCATAATTGATATGAAATATGAAAATCCTGGCAAATAATCAATCAAAATTAATCATTTCTTGTTTTTCTTTGGCTGCTGCAGGTAACAATTAAATGATGTTGTGGTAGGTGTGAGCAATAATAGATCATAGATGACATCAAAATGCTGTAAGAACTGAAAAGTGGCACACGAAGTGCATCTAATTGTGTCACTGATATAATTCTTCCCAATGTTTGACATCTTCTGTGATCTGTTACTGCATGCAAAACAAATACAAACAAGCTGTTCTGCTGTCTAGACTGATAGTGAATCACAAGGTATCATATATTATCAGAAATAATTGAACACAATAATACCTTTGCTACCATCGCTTTGCTGTATCCTGATTTATAACCATAAACATTAAAATTCACTGGAACAGAAATAAGCCCTTGAAGAAAAAAGCTCATCTGTAAGTAATGCCTTATGCAAAATCACAACTTACAGTAAATTTCAGTAACAATATTCTGGAAATAATAATATTATGATTTATTATAAGGCTGTGTCTCACAAGGACTGGGAACTACCGAATTCACGAATTTGATTGGCTGACATCAATATTGAAAGCAGTCTAGATTTTCCCATCTAGACCGGCATCTAGACCGGCATCTAGACCGGTCTAGAAAAAAAGGTACAAAGAATATAAAAAATTGGCATATAAGACACAGCCATATAATAATCATCTTATTAACCGATCTAGGTCGGTCTGTATGGGAGAATCTTGACCTTGGTGGCTGGTACAGACCTCACTGCATTCGTGTCAGGGAATAAGTTAGTTGCTCATCAATAATAAGTCAAATATTAATTGTAAAAGGAATTAGTTAAATGATTACGTGATAGATTGCATCAATTCTCAGTAAATTGAACTTAGTGCACAGTTTATCAGCTGATGTACTTTGCACGCGCTAATTAAACCAAATAAGGAAGGGATCGTGTGAATTAGGCTTGATCAATATATTGTACGATAGTTATATAATTACTGTAAGCTGTGCATGTGATAGATTATAGTACTGTATTGTGTAAGACAGCAGAAAAACCGAAGTACACGTACACTGTAATCAGATTGATAGTAGAACCCTTGAGAGGTAGAAGAATAAACTCCGTGCTAAAATAGAACGTAAAAAGTGTGATAGATACAGTCCTCAGTTGAACCAGCGAGCGGAACAAAAATTCTGTGACAGTTCGGTCTGTACTGGTGACCTTGGTCAAGATTCTCCCATACAGACCTCCTGCTCTGTTAATAAGAACTAAGTAAGTCTCACACATACAAAACAAACACTTTGATCTCACACCAGCCCCCCCTCCCCCATGAAAAAAAATTCAAGGTCATATACATGTAGCTATAATTCATGATTTTCATTAGAAGATGGTAGTAAGGGTGATCTGCTGCCTTTCAGACCATTTCATTCTGGCTATTTAGTGACTCTAAGCTCAGAATCCAAAGGCCTGAGGTTCAATTTCTCCTTAAGACTCAGAATTTTTTTCTTTGTCCACTGCTTGTGACTAGACAAAAAAGCATCTTTCTATTTTTCTTTACCAAGCTCAAAACCTACTATATTTTTTATTATTAAGAAAATAAGTGCTTTTCAACTTATTCTAACATCAATGTCTGACTTAAAAAAGTTAACAAAACAAATGTTTGTCCCAGAATGCTAGAAATCAATTGTCTCAGAGAGTTTCAAATTTCAAATTTTTTTGGGAGGAGCCCCTCTAGTTTGATTTACATTCCACTTAATACATAAATTTCAAAGACACTCTTTTAATTACATGTACTATGGTGGAAGTTTTTAGGCTATCTGTGTGACTTTCATTCAAAATTTCTCACGTATCAATCATTTATTTTGTGAATTATACTGTATGAAAAATTTCCATACACAGATGACTTACCATGCCAGTGAGTTATGGTGAGTTCAACTACAGATTCTGCTTCTCTTTTGGCAGTTTCCATTTCCAGTCCCAGAAACAATCGCAAACATACCTCAGTTGTTAGCTGCTTGAACAGTTTATATGGAATAACAATATCATTGTCTTCAATACTATTCAATAATCTTGAGGACACAACCTCCACATCACTCATGTAATGGGTCACTTCTTCAGGTCGAAAGACATTGTGGAGAATGTTTCTCAACCTTATAGCTTCATCGTCACTGTTGAAAATTACCAAATCTCCATATAAACTATACATGTATCCAAAATCTTTGTAGCCCATGTCAAGCACACCATCCTTGTCTAAAGAAAAATGAAAATAAAAACCACACATTAATAGGTTGACAAACTAAAAGTGGGACAAAATTTTAATCAGGACGGTGAAAACGAAGGGTAGAAATGGGATTTTGAAAAGAAAAAATTAATAAGTGAACAAAATTCTAAACATTTAGCATCATCTTATTAGTGATAGGATCAAACCAGTTGACCTTTTACATCCTAACATCAGTATAGATATTCTCCAAACTCTTCTCTAGACATTTCTAAAGGTACTGATAAGGAGAAGTTGTTTAACAATCAGGAGCTTCTTTAAGTTGGTGAACATTTCCTTTTTTCTCCTGACCCCAATTTGTGATTCAGGAGTGATATTGTAAGGAGAAATTAAATACTGGTCACTCTTAGAGGTCAAGGTGAGCAGGGACTAAGATTGTAGACATAAATGAAAGCGTAAAATCTCAATACCAGACTTGAACATTAATTTTAATTCTTGTTGGACATAGACAATTAGAATCCAGTTACAACACCTTCTAGAATTTCCTTGACTCCTTGATTTGAAGCAACAAGTACATGAGGCTTGTTCAGCACTCTTAGCTGAAAAACCCTTGAGTTACATGTTCTAATATTGCGTTGGATGAATTCTGCTGGATTTCTTGCAAACTCAAGCGTCTTGTCGCCAGTAACACGCCAACCAAGACTTCCTGGTAATGATGTCATTAAGACATGTAACAGATTGCACAAGCTACAGCTAAAATTCACAGAATATAATAATCAATAATAATAAAATGTAATTAATATCTTAATGAGATATTGAAACAAAATCCATACATATTTCACTCTGTAAACTTCACTGTCTCTTGACTTTGTAATTTTTTATATACATGTCTGTCGATTGACAGTGGCTTAGTCTGTTGCAGGTTAATATTATATTAGAGCAGTTTTTTTCTGAGATGTGTACTGTACATTTTGATTATAATAATTGTAATTTGTTTGTTGTAAGTAGATTATGTGCTGTAAAGAGCATATCATAATGAACTGTGTTTAGTAGAATGTTAAAAAATGTACATAAAAAAAAGAAAATTGCAGAAACTATGCCTGTTGGTATCAAAAAGAGAATAGATTTCATTACTACAGGCAATGATATTACAAGTTCTTTGCCATATAATTATTTCATCTATATTTTTCCTTATCATATTATTTATGCATATTCCACTGTTTGTTTTCTATCTTTCAGTATTTTTATTCTTTTCTTAGTCATCCATTTCATATTTCAAAAGAATGAAAGTTAAATGTTGCAAAGTGTTATCAGACAATTATTTGTAGCGTACAATAAATAATTAGTTATGGCTACCACAAACGTGAACCTAAGAACACATTTATCAAAATTTTCCCAAAACGAAATTACATGTCTTCAAAGGAGAGAATAATCGCAAAATAACCTGAAAGAGAACACTTAGAAAGAGCTTCTACATTTAAATACAACTATGGACAAGGAAAATTACCCATTCTCGCAAGGTACCTGACAGTTCTTCTGAAGTCTCGAGAAATCTATACAACCTCCTTAAAATCAAGTATTGTACAACTAAAAGAAACGAAATTAAAGACTAAATACGATCGACCAAAGGTCACTCCTTAGGCTTTCTTTAAAATTACAAATTATTTCAAATATTAAACCATTCGAGACAAAAGCAATTAAAAGAAACGAGCTTAGTATTTGTATCACATACATAATTCGGTCTGTTAGGTCTGCGACAAAACCAGAGTTTTGACAAGTTTTGGCGGCAAGGCCTCGTCTAAATTCATTTTTTCTGCAGTTAATTTATGGGATTTACCTTTTAAACGACTGTGAAATTTAACTTCGTGTGATGACTGTAAATCGAGTGATAGAGGGTGACAAGAACCAGCCTCACGATCGTGATCATATGATGTAAACACACCGTACAGAACAAATTTATACGCTCGATAATTAACTAAAAGTCGCTATATGAAGTCCTGTGGCTATTCCTTGCTCCTTCCGTGTCAGTGAATCTGTACTATACCGTTAGATGACGAGTATAACTTATCACAGGTACGAGTTCGAAGTCTCTGTTGTAAATTAAGACGAGATATTGACCCAAAACAAGTACCTCTGTAAATTTATAGCGCGATGTCAAATGAATTATGGGTTACCGATTTTTCCCTTTGTGTTTGCTTATCGACGTCAAAGTCTACAAGGCGGCCAAGTCAGCTCCATAACATATGTGTCTGATCCCCGGGTTGTTCCGCTGTGCTCTTCAAACTTGCAGTAAAACCTAGCGATAAGCGAACAAGTGAAAGACTACTACACCAATCAGTTTGTTTCGCCTACATTGGCTGGCAAACAGCAATGCATTATTAATCGAAAGTGACGGAGGATAACAAATTTCCCTTTAGATCATTTGCATCACGATCAATATGCAGGTCAAAATGAGTTTCCGTTGAAACATAAATAATATGATGAGTCAGACGAGGCAGCCACCATTTTAAAGCTTGGGTAACCTGGCCTGTAACGCACCAAGGACGGGATAAAAGTATACAAAACTACTTGGGACTCAAACAGCCACGGTACACTCACGAGCCTGGCAATAAAATTTTCTAAAGAAATTTTTGCTGCTCCCATTCAGTGAAGACTGAGAGCGGGCGAAAGACAAACTTTGAATTTGCTTGTTCCGTGACACCCATTTAACACTATCGGAGAGAACATAGGCTTTTCCTTTCGGCACCTCTCTAATCCAGGAGGCTTTTTACACACACTTGACAGGCTATGTTTTGCAATAGGATTGTTTGAAGAGGAGTGAGTCCAAAGAAATAATTGAAGGACACAGATCGACACGCGATAAATGCAATGTGTTTCATAGGAGAAAGGCTGTTTTTAAAAAGATAAACAGAAAATAACAGAGCTACCTCGGCCATCTACAGTGACCGGAAAGACGTTCAATGAGCTACTGCGGCTGAACAAATACAATTTCTTAGTGTGGCTTTTGCATGCTGATCATGACTCGAAGACGAGCTGTCTGAGCTTCCCGAGCCGTAAATACCTGGTAAATATACTCCAGAATTGTCCGCACGCTCAGTGATCTGAGCTAAACACAACTGGATACTAGGGCTAGCCGGTCTGTTAGTCCTCCCGGAGAAAATTAGCAGCAAGATATGAACTGACTGTTTGGAAGAAATCTTCACTCGTAACGCTTCGTTCCCGCTTCGTTCTTCTAGTTTTGCTAGGTTTATATTCTTTGAAACCTTGTGCATGCTCATAGTTAGTAGAGGGAACTCTACTAACTATGAGCATGCTCAAATAGTTTGTTTTCATTATCCACTTGAACATACGACTAAAAATGTTTAACATATCTGGAGCCCTTCAAAGGTGTCACCTCAATCGCATCCACCTTTCTCTGTTATGAAAGGTCAGCAACTTTCATAGTTATTGTTGGAATTTCTTTGCGCCTTCGCAATACGATAAATGATTCTTACAAATATTGACCAAACTCTGTGGAACAAAAAATTTGGATATATCAACAAAGTTGAAGTGGTAAATTGGCCACCGTAACGATTCCAACTTTGTTGATATATCCAAATTTTTTGTTACTCCCACCGACGCAGCCCCAAACAGTTTCTTTCGAAACTGTCAGCCTTTATTCATCAGTGGAACAAACGTTCACTAGTCTTGATACTGGACATCTTAGCGTTAATAATAATAATAACAATCTTTTATTTGGAAGCTCCATCACAATAGTGGTTTACATAGAGGTCCTAAATACTAGATGTGTATTATATAAAAATACAATTGAAATATAAAAATTTGAGCTAAAATTGAAATATAAAAATGATTACAACATATACACTGCAAAGATTAATTTAAAAAAATACTTAATTATAAAAAGCAGAAAAGGGACACTTCTTACAAATTGGCAAACTTACTGAGTTTCTTACAGTTCTCTCTAACTCATTAAAGTCTTTGAAACAGTGATACCGCGAACGATGTTTTCCCCAATTGTATTTGATTTTGGGGAGCTTTATAGTATCGTTATTGCGCATATTGTAAGAGTGCATATCACTCTTTCTTACTATGTCCAAAGAATTATTAATTTCGCCATAAATACACTCGTATGCATATATGTATCGATGACATTTCCTACGTTCTTCAAGATTCAGCCATCTCAAGACTGTAAGTGATCTATCAAATATCAACTTAGCTGCTTTGTTTTGCAGAATTTGTAATTCCTTCATTAAATAAATTCGTCTTTAAATTAGTGTGTCACCAATAAATTAGTGTGACATTGTCCTTGTCACCCCAGACTAAATCAGCATAATCAAAACTAGGTAGTAAAAAAGGTAGGTAGTGAAAAAGTAGTAGGTAGTAAAAAACTAGGTAGTAAAAAAGTAACCGGTTATTATGAGGTAAATAATACTTAATCCTATGTAAAAGACCAAGGTTTTTATTAACCTTACATGAAATATACTCAACATGGTCGGACCAAGTAAAAGTTGAGGACAACAACTCCCAAATATTTAAAACTAGTTACAGAATTTATCAGTGTCAAAAATAGATAATGAGAAAGAGGAAATACCAACAAGTTTCCTATTACTACCTATAATCATGGATTTCGTCTTACTAAGATTCAAAGTTAGCTTATTTCCTTGTAGCCACTGGGCAACTTGCAAGAGATCATCATTCAGTGCCTCCTCCAACAGGTGTGGCTCCTTAACAAAGTAGTACAGGACCGTGTCATCAGCATACAAAGTCACCTTGCAATTCTTTATAGCCAGAGGAAGGTCATTAATATCAACCAAGAAGAGAAGCCGTCCTAGAATACTCACCTGTGGAACCCGAAAGGTCATCGGGAGAGGGTCAGACATAGCATCACTACAGGCAGTCCGCTGTTTACAATGACTCAGGTAGGACTTGAACCACTGTAGCGTGCTGGGCGAGACACCAATAGCCGACAATTTAGATAACGAGATCTTATGGTCAACGGTATCGAATGCCTCGGTCAAATCTAAGAACACCGCATCACACAGTTCTCCACTCTCCATATGCAATAGGACCTCATCTGCAAAACTGGTGAGAGCTGATGTTGTAGACAGTTTGGAACGGAAGCCAAATTATTTGTTTGAATGAGGTTATTTGAATTTATTTAATCGCGTTATGAAATATGATGAAAGAATAAAAAGCGAAGCACAACTGATTGGAGAAAAAAAAAACGCACGCAAATGTACCAGTACCTTTTTTACATTATAAAACAAAACAGCAGCTCACTCCTATCCTTGAGGCCACGCTATCACTTCAGGCGGTATTTCTGAAACGCACGAGCATTCTGCTTTGCGACGCTACACGTAATGTTGACTATTGCGCTATAAATAGAAACCGATGTACATTACTACAATGTGTGTCTGGGCCTTGATTCCGCTGCCCCAAAAACATGTTGCGTAGCGAGAAAAAAAGAAAGGTTCGCAAGAGACGGCATGATTATCAAAATGCCACCAGGTACCTTAACTTTGAAAAATACAACCAAGCACTCTCCCCTTTACACCCCAACATCGGTAACCATTCTCTCCATACTCTTTTCAATACATTTCCTTTGGTACTGACCCGAAGAATTCGTTTAATAACCAAAGCTTGTTAGGCTAGTGATCATTTCCTTTATTCTCACTATCTTAATGAATGATTCAGCAATATCACTGAAAGGAATAATTAGATACTGATCGCTCTTAGGGTTCTATGGGTTAGGAGGTTTCCAAACGTCTTTTTAGCCGCATCAGGATCTACTGTATGTAGCTAACCCCAACCCAACGCCAAAGGGACAGTTTTCCAACTCCGGAGAAAGACGACTTTGGAGTAGTGGAAGGCGCAAGTTGGGAAGTTAAGGGAGTGACATTGCCGATTCTGTGGTCTAAAGCTTGGATTTCGTGGGCTGACTGTGGTATGGTGGTACAAGTGGAAATAATGGAAGACCACTCTTAAATGCAGTAATGTCATCAATAACGGTCAGCTAAAAGAATGAAAGAAAAGACAGTCATTTCATTTATAATTGGATTAAAGTTTGTGATAAAATTGGAGAGAAAAGATGACTTGGATAAGAAATAAAATACCGTGGGAGAAGAATCAGAATCTTCAGTTTTCTCATTTTCATTATCTTCGATTTTAGACTCGTCATTCGCATTCTTTGTCACTGAAAGAAAAAAAAAGTGAAACAAGTCAACCTTATTCATTGCTGGTTGGAGTTCTTGCTGTGAAAACAATAATCCTCTCTTGTTCACCAGTGGACTCAGCGAGGTTATACTGCGACACATAGGTTCACATGGTGTACAATCCAGTTTGTTCACACAGGAAGTAAGGTCAACTCTTTAAAGCTTACTGCGCTTCAAGTTCGTCTTTAAAGCTTACTGCGCTTCAAGCTCGCAATGGCAGTCGCTATGGTCTTAAAGCATCAATCGGCGTCAACTCCACTACGATTCTGATTGGTCCTTCACATGATCTGTTTGAGGACAGACATTTGTGATGTCATCATGTGACTTGTCACATTTTAACGCCATTTGTGATCCATCCCCGAACCAGCGCAAGACAAATGGAATCTATTTGTCACTTGGAAAAGACGTTTGAATTTCAGTCAGAAGTACTCACTTGTCTTGGATAAAATATGGACGGCCAACTTGTGCCGTCTAGGTGCTTTAAAAGCAAGAAGATCCTGCAAGTCAGAGCAGAAAAAAATTACCTGTAAATTAGTAATGTGATAGTCGTTTTACCAAGTTTGCACGACTTAAATTTTCAGAGTAGGCACCGTTTTCAATGGAATGGCTACAACCCCAACGGTTATCAAATATTATCAGTCTTATGTAAGGAATGCCAAAACAAAACGAGAAATCCTACCCGATAGAATTCCAAAACATCTTCTTTCGTGACAGTCATTAGAAATCCCACCTCAATGTTATCTGAAGAAGAAACATCGTTTCAGTCAGCGAGAAGACCACAATCAAATTCCCATGAACGTGCATTGGGTCACGGTTTAGCTGGCACAAGCCGGCGGGGTTTCCAATGTAATCTGGAATGTATTGAGTATTTCGGTAGGTGCTTTCATTAGATGGTAAGTTTCCGCGGTAGATACATTTGAAAGTTCTTACTTACATAGACCTTCACCTGAAAAATTCCATTTATAGTTGCCTGATAGTTAAGATTATCCTACATTGTCATTGGAAATCTAATCTTTGCATTGATCATTCATTTAAGTCTTTCTTAGCCTGTGAACAGGCGCTCACTATTGGCGCCGCAGGTTGCGCCTTTCTCCGCCCGCGAGAAGATTTGAGACGACTCGGACAGAGTTTCCCCTATACTCTCCCGCGGGCGAAGAAATCCTCGTGGCGAAGCGATAATAACGCGGACGTTCTGGCAGGCTATATGTTTTTCAAGTAACTGTCGCATCATAAAAGGTCAGGAAGACATGTGAAGTCAAACACAGCCACAACTTGGTCGGAACACATGTACAGTAGACGAAAAATCCCAGGAACACTGGTCTATGCGACAAGCCTCTCTGTTTGTTCTACTCCCAAAACAAGCTACTGCAACAGTTTGCCTTGAGTGAAACTGAGACTTTTTGTGAAAATCTGTCTCGGCGGCTATCAGTGGAAAACATTCAAACCAGTTTGAATTCGTGTAACCGATCGCAGCAACACAGTAGCAATGGAAAGATTCTCAAAAAATTACCATGTCACAAGAAGCGAACCTGTAGATTTAAATTGTTTCGTCACCAGACACGTTGTAGCAAGTGTCTCGGCTCGGCCTACAGCAATATAGTTGTATACGTGACGAACATGTTATTTGGTAATGGTTGCAGTAGCATATCGGCTCTCACTTAATGTGGTTAGCTTAGCTTTTTGTCCCTCCCCCCAACGGCCCAGCAATGATGAAACGTTTACTCGCTTTGATAATGTTACTCAGTAGAGGAAAAGTGTTATTCCGACTCACCCCTGTCAAAGTTGTATTGCCTAGAGAGGATTTCTTTCCAGTGTTTCATACATTCCGATGACAGTTTCTTAGGTTTGTCCATTCTTTTTACTGCAAGTGCCTCAATATGGTTTTTGTATTCCTCTTCCGACATTGTTTTGATGTACTCCTTTTCAAACAAAAAGGTTTAATAGTGAGATATATTTTTGTTACACTGGCTTTGTAAACGAATATCCAAAAACCACATAACAACGCAAACAAACCTCGATGCCTTGAAGGAAGTTTTCAACTCGTGAATCCAGTAAGGATGGTTCTTTTTCAGATTGAATCAAGACACGGAGACCCTGAAGAAAAAAACATTGTTAATGAATGACTAGTTCATGGCGTATAACCCCTGTACCTAACAGTGAGCAAATGAAGCTTTTCATAGCTGAGAGTTCCATACCTGGAAATTAACCCCTTCTACCCCAAAGATCTGTTTGTTAAATTTCTCTTGTAGCTGCTACATATTTCATTGTAAATTGGTTATGAGACTTTTGTGTTGAAGATCAACATAACAACTTCTGCCTGCTAAGTTTGAGGATTCTCATTACCTTTTTGCTGGATAATGTATGGATATTATAGGATATGTTCTGGGAGTTTTGGGTTCATAGAGAAGATAAAGCAGCATGGCAAAAACACGATTTCATTGCTACACACCTGATTGGTGCAAAAAAGGGAAGTAACAATAACACCGACGAGAACAGACCAACAAAAGAACAGAACAACAATGTTTTTCCCCTACTTGGTTACATTAAATTGCTCATTTTAGACTGGTTATCCCGGAAGGAATACATCAGAAATAGTGTTAGCGTGAACTTTAAAGAAATTCATAACAATTAAAGTCATATCAACCTGAGCACCATTACATCTTCTTATTCCACTAAAGACGATATACCCTGAAATGAAAAAGATATACAGGAAAAAGTTTGTTGGCTACAACATAGTTGAGTGTCGCGAGTCCAAAAGCTCAATTCTACTAGTGCTTATCCCAGTTTCTGGTTTAAGAATTAAGTGAATCAGACTGTTGTTATTCCTTCTAAACAGAATGCTTGAATCAATCGAAGATACGCACCCCCACCCCCCGCCTCACACAGAAATTCGTCTAAGCTTGAAAATCAAAGAGGAAATGAGCCCGCGCTCCCCTCCAAAGGAAACGGCGTAAATCAAGCGTATAACAGACCGGTACCTCTCTACACTCCTATGTGGGTGAAGAGCGGACAGTACCTGGGTGGGGTGAGGAGCGGACAGTACCTGGGTGGGGTGAGGAACGGACAGTGCTTGGGTGGGATGAGAAGCGGACAGTAAAGTGTCTTGCACTAAAAACATCACAACAATGACACGTCCTGGCTTCCAATCTAGATCTTTATATTCTGAAACATGTGCGCTTACTACTAAGCTATGGAGTGTTGTAAGTAAATGTAAAGCTTAGCACACAAACCTAACTGCTCTTGAGTTCTAAGAGTGTTAAAACAGGGTTCACTGATGACCTGACAGAACAACTCCAGAAGTACATTACTTTTGGTGGCTTGCAGGTCACACTGAAAACGAAAATACAATTATCATCATTTAAGATATGTCGCTAGGATGCAACACTTTGTTTCATCACAGGCCACTTTGTCAGGTAACAGAAGGCAAATATATGGGCCATCTGAGGTTATTGGGTGCTGGGGAAACCACCAAGTTGGAAAGGGAGCAAAACAAACTGCAGTTAAGTTGCACCATGTTTCAGTTACAACAAAAATGTTCAGGACAAAAACCACCGATTGATTGAAAAGAGGGGGGGAGGGTACGGCTTTGTATCCCTGTCCTGTCTCCTGTCTCCCAACCCTGGCCTGAATTGTACAAAAGACATTTCATTTGCATCCAAGTGTACCTGATAATATATTTCCAAACTTGAATTATTGTGAACTTCATTGTGCACTTCAAATAGATACGAACAACCTAAAGAACAGAAACAGACGCGCATAAGTTTATAACAAAATTACCTATGGTTTTCCTAGTTTGGTCTCATCATTTTTCTGAGCACCTTTTGCTTGACACTTACCATCTGGTAACTGTATTTCTCTGTGCCGAATTAATTGTAAAGGTAACAAGGGTTTGGTCTTGCTGTCTTCTTTCATGATCTTCTCTACGAGCTCTGCAGTGTCTAAAGCTTCCTGAAACAAAGCAAAGTCAACAAACACAATGGTTGAAGAACTATTCACCGAAGTGGAGGTGGCTAGTTGTTTTAATATAAACTAAAACAGCGAGATAATACAGCACACAAAAAAAGTGATTTTAACTCATTTATTCCCGCAACGATTATCATATTTAGAATATTGACTACGTCAACAACCTCGAGTGCCTTCTAGACTTCTTTCATTCAACTTTTTAAACTCACTTCTTTCGTTAAGTTTCCATGAAACAAACACTCAATATGAAGTCGTCCTAACAAATCAGGGATGAAAGCTTCCAACTTCTCCTGTGTTACCTCTGACAAACAATCAACACCAGCGATCAGTAACTGTAAATATTAACAGATACTAAGGTTTTCGTTCAACCACACTTTCCTCCCAACCCCCAAAACACCACTATAATAGCAGCTTTCAAACGCACTGACATTTTTCCGCACTTAGCATAGCTGTTTGTATTTCATTCATTCGTTGCATTGTTCCTGTTCACTTTTTTCTTAAAATGCAATTAATATGATTTCATTTTATTTCATTTTGATGACATTCAAGAAAGTTAAAACTGCTCGGCATAAGAGGAATGCAAAAGGACGATAAATACCCTCTAATGCTTCTAACAGGTCGTCTTTATGCCACGCTAGTTCTTCTAACAAGAATGACGTGTAGTACAAAGCATGTTGATGAGGAGGTTCAGCAACAAAGTTCTTCAGTGCAATCTCACACTGTTAATTGGACATGGAGAATAAAACAGTGTTAAAGAACGTAGCATGTAAAAAGATTATTTCGTCGTCTCACCAAAGGGGTTCAATAGGTCACCAGTCCTTTCGTACCCAGTCGATACGCACCCAGCTAGGACCATTCGTACCCAATCAGTTGAGTCGTTTCGTACCCAGCTAGGACCATTCGTACCTAGTGAGTTGAGTCGTTTCGTACCCATATTGATAAGGTACGTTTTCCATGTGAAGTACGTTAGTAACCAGTCGTTTCGTACCCAGTTGATTTGGATACAAAACGACTGGATACCGTTCAATACCCCCATGAAACAAAACATCAATAGCATACATTGATAAGAAACAATATTTCGAAATAATTTTTTCACAAAATTGTCGCGACTGCAAAGCAAATGAATGCACATGAATAATCAATTAAATAATCATTACCCTCTCTTTGATGAGTGGAAACCTCTTAGCGTCGACTTGAAAGTTTGCCATTCTTTCGAAAATCTTCTTCAATAAAACAGGTTGTTTGTGGTTATATCCTTTGATGCTCAACTGTAAAGTAACAGAGGTGTGTCAATACCCTTTATCTGGAATCACTACAACCACAGTAAGCCATATTTTTACAACTTGCCTTGACTATCTCCTTGTCCAGAAATAGATAATAATGTAGTTTATTTCTGACCACTTGCAGCGTGAGGCTGAATTAGTGGTACAGTATATACATAATAAATATGAATATAATACAAACAAGACATTACACAGGCTGATACTTAACGGTAACGAAATTTTTAAAACACTCAGTTTTTACGAGCATGCGGTGAGAAGATTTGCCTGATAGCACACACATTTGCGTTGTGTTGTGAAGTACTCGCTCATGAATATGGGGGTACAAGAGGTGGCCTGGGCGAATTTTACGGATAAACCGCTCGCATGCATCTGCGCGGCGGGCCGACAAGGACTGAAGAGCGGCCTTTTCAAGCGCGTGTTCGTAGGAAAGGTCAGGCCATGTAACTGATACGCTTGGTTACTTTTCCACAAGGAGAATTGTTATGGGAAAAAATTGTTAAGGACGAAGGTGACTTGAGAAAAATATGCACTTTTTACTTACAAAGATTCCATACATGGTGTTTTCCAGTTTGTAATGCACCCCCGCGATCTCGGCAGCGTAGGCATACTCGTTTAACGAGTCCTTCAGCAGCTCTACAAACAAGTGGGCCATATTACAGTGGCACGGATCCACATATGCCAAAGGACTACAACAGATACAAAACATCACCCGTAAATCATCTGTCAAAACTTCACCTCTAAGGGTTTTTACTATCCAACTGCAGTAAGCAGAGAACGAATAGCGCGCGAATCGAGTAGAAAAAGACCGCGATATTGTACGATTATTTGGACAGCTGGTTATTTTGCCCTTCGGAAAAAAAACTGTTTGATAAGAAATAAAATGCATATGAAATAAAGCAGCTGAAAACAAATAACGTACTAAACGCTTTAGTCAGCCAAAACATAATATATTATTAAATTAGGAGGAAGACAATTTATAACTGACAACCTACAATCTTGATAATAAACCTTGTAGAAGAGTGCACAACCTCACCAATTGAATATACTTCATACTCAGTACCTTGTTATTTCAAACAGGAGACATGACTTTGGGAGGTGGAATGTATCGTCTTGTTTAAACCAAACTTTCAACAGAGAATCATCCTAGAAAAATATTAACACGTTCTGTCATAATGTGTTAACAATAAAGAACTGCCCTTACCAAATGAATATTCTGCAATGTGAGTCTGTACGTTGAACACGCCACAACAAAGAGGAAATGAAAACTACCTAAAAATCTTACCAATTGAAGTGTATACTCGCTGAAAACTATTAGAAACATTTGCCTTTTCTTAAGGAATGAAAATGCGTATCCCCATTTACAGAAAACCTACGCATTTTTTCGGTGATTACACATGTACCAAGTTTATGTAATATTTAATAACTATTCACCGAAATGGAGGTGGTTAGTGGTGGATATTTGTCGAGCCGCGAAGCGGCGAGGTAAATATCCACCGCTAACCACCTCCACTTCGGTGAATAGTTGTTTTAGTATATACTAAAACAGTGAGATAATACACACCACCGTCGTTAATTTGAGTGATTTCTTCGCTTGTCACCGATGCAAACCGGGACGCCATTTTTTCCCAAGTTTCTCGGGGATAAATAGCGAAGGATATTCAGAGTTTGACTAGCCAATCAGAGCGCGCCTTCAACGCTATCCACCGTTTTAGTATATACTAATCTTAGATATTCACTGACATGTTACAGATTTTTTCCATCGTTGACAGGAAAATTTAAGAAGCAAAAATATACAGTATTGTACTTCACGTAAATTAAGCATACCTTGATGAGTGTGGGAATGGATGAGGACTACGAATAAGAAATATAGGTAAAGTTAGTCTAACACTATAATATTCTATTTCAGATGTGGTTTGGTTCTAGTAGTGTTTCCATGAATGGTGCATATGAAGATGTTAAAACTGAACTCAAAAATGCACAACAATAGAAGGAAAGAGGTAGTTTATCACTACTTGGTCGAAGTTCTTGTTCCTTTGAAATAATTAAGAGAGGCATCCTACAGTGTAGCGTGCAGTTTTGTATTTGAGTGGTTGAGAAGGTGGCGTAAATTTTTTTTGAACAATCACAGAGTGCAGTTGAACAAGGTCAAACTGATCCAACACCACTAGTAACAGTCAATTGAAAACTGCTCTGATCAATGTACAATAAAATCATAACAACATCCTGTTCTGTAAAGTTGATGGATTTAAGTGAAATTCAGGGATTAAAGGGATTTTTTTTCCCTAATTTTCCCTGATTACGGGAGCTTAGAGAAAAGCAATTGTCATACTCCCCAGAATGTCTGCAGCTGATCGTGGGAATGTGTAAAAACAGGTAGAAGTGATTCCACTGTTTACTTATGGTAGTTTTTCACAGCAAACAACAGTTTCAACACAAGGTGATTTCAGTTGAAAGAAAGAGGCTGCCATTAGAATTGGTAAAAGGCAGAGTATGAAAAGGTAGAGTATGAAAAATGAAATTATTGTTTACCATCCATGTTTCTACGTCATCATCGGGTTGTTTTAAGAAATACAACAATAAACTTGACATTAACTTTTACCACGGGAATTTTAGTTCTTACATCTTGAGGCCTTTCCCTTATTGTAAAATCTGTGGGGATAAACTCATTTTCCTCGGGTAGTTGCAGAGAAGGGTTTAATAACACATTGCTCCATTCCTGTAAGAAAGAATAAACATTACATATTAGTAGACTTTTTTTTAAATATTACTCTCTTAAATGGTTCTTTAGCACTGCCAGATCAGGATAAGCAATGAAAAATGTTTGTGATTGTTACATGTAGATGTCTATTTTTTGAGGGGGGAGGGGAGGGGGTGCGGTGATGGGTTTCTGGTGTTTGGAGTTGTTTGGAGTCAGTGAAACAAGCAAAGATTGATTGAAGATATCCTGGCTCATATATGTCTCATACAACTGTGCATTCACAAGTAAACAGCTAGGCAAAAGTCAGCCTTTTAAAAAATAAATAGGAACAAGAGGAAAGATGTAGGTAACTACCCAATCAATAGATACCCAATCAATACATACACAAAATGGTAAAGTATCATGCCTCTAAACTATAACCAAGAATTTTTATAATCACTCAATGTATATATCACTTATTAACCAAGCGCGAGGGGCATACTGGGAGAATATCGGCCTGAGGTCTTGACAGTATGGACTGAGCGCAGCGAGGTCCATACAAAAAAGACTGAGGGCCAATATTCTTCCAGTACGGTCCCGAGCAAGCTTGGTTAATAAGAGATTTATTATACGACTGAAGTTCAAAGGGACACAAGTGCGGTATCATTCGGGACCATTCGGGACAGTGCCCGGTCCAATACTTAGAGAATATTGGACCGGCAATAGAGCATTTTGATNTCGAATTAATTTGATGGCCTGCTCCCAGTTGGCTTGTTAGCTCAATTGGTAGAGCGCTGCACTAGTATCGCAGAGGTCAGTGGTTCGAATCCCGTACAGGCCTGAAATTTTTTTTTTTCAGGTCTGATTTTCACTATTGCTCAAATAGTGCTTTACTGCGAAGGATCGTTCTCATATACGTCTCATAACCGCAGTTCACACATATGTTTCATATGTTTGTTGTTGTTTGATTTATCATCTACGGGTTTATATCGAATTAATTTGATGGCCTGCTCCCAGTTGGCTTGTTAGCTCAATTGGTAGAGCGCTGCACTAGTATCGCAGAGGTCAGTGGTTCGAATCCCGTACAGGCCTGAAATTTTTTTTTTTCAGGTCTGATTTTCACTATTGCTCAAATAGTGCTTTACTGCGAAGGATCGTTCTCATATACGTCTCATAACCGCAGTTCACACATATGTTTCATATGTTTGTTGTTGTTTGATTTATCATCTACGGGTTTATATCGAATTAATTTGATGGCCTGCTCCCAGTTGGCTTGTTAGCTCAATTGGTAGAGCGCTGCACTAGTATCGCAGAGGTCAGTGGTTCGAATCCCGTACAGGCCTGAAATTTTTTTTTTTCAGGTCTGATTTTCACTATTGCTCAAATAGTGCTTTACTGCGAAGGATCGTTCTCATATACGTCTCATAACCGCAGTTCACACATATGTTTCATATGTTTGTTGTTGTTAAACTGCCCATCAGTTACCAGATAAATAACTAGTTTTAGTTTTGCATCCAATAGGCTACAACAATGGTACAAGTCTTCTAGAATACACTCAGACAGGACACAGAAATGCAAAACCAATGCATTCATAGATCATTTTCAACCCTCAACTGAAAATGACACTTGATGGGGGATATAACACCCAGTATTCTGTAATAGTGATTGAGATGTTTATATTGACGGTTTAGCTTTTAGAATGATTCTATGAACCTGTGTAATGTACAGTGGTCACCTGTATTACCATGTGCTCTTATCAAATGAATATAATCTGAGTCGTTGGACCTGCCATCTTGAGTGTGTGTGTTCTGTCTTAGAACTCTTCTAACCCAAAAACATAACATGTTCCAAGGTGTCACCCTTTTTGCTGCCAAAGCCTCTTGAGGAAAATTTTGGTGCTGCCATTTAACAACCTCTTGTAACATCTTTACAACTTAACGATTCAGCATCAGAGGTCAAAGTGAGATTATATTTTAATCAAATATGAGTAACGCTCTGATGTTTTCTTTGATAATAATTTGCTCCTTTCTTCAGAGGTTCTAAGGAGTGTATTGTGTGCACTTTCAAAATTGCCTGCTAGCCATAATGTTTAATTCAAACAAGCGGTGTGGTAAAAAGTACAGAAAGTCATATAATATCAAGTAAAAATGTCCTCTTTCTATTTTTTCCCAGCAGCTAATATTTCATTTACTGATTTTAGGTCACCTAATCAAAACTTTGAGTAAGGTTGAGCTTGGAGCTCTGAGACCACCCATGAGATATTGCTCACATAACACCTACATGTAAACAGCGGGCCATTGAACACACATAGGATCCTGGATTCTCCTTGTCCTTAAATTGAAATCTAACTTCAAAAAGGGCCTACAAAAAGATAATGCCAAATAAAAGACCATCACTAATTTCATTGATTTACAGATAGAAAATGTCAGAACACACCTGACTCTTACAGTGATGTTAAGGAACAATGCCTAGCTTAAAATGAAATTTGTTCATTAGTATAACCAACAGTCTAAACTAGATTTAATCCCTACAGAAGTTTATGACCTTGAAACTGGTCTATACTTATCAATTGACTAGTGTTTGATAAAAGTACCTGGCACTCTTTGAATATCCATTCCGAAGGTTCTTGCCTTCTCAGCATTTCCAAGTATTGAAATACACATGCCACTATTTCATACACATGATCTTCAAAAAAATGACATGAAATCATTAACAAAGAATTCAAATTAATTTTAATTACAATAGGTGTTCAAAGTTACAATTCCATTAATTTAATTTATTAGATTCACCAACAGGCAGGGACACTGCAACAGCTTGCACCAATTATAGCAGGCCCAGTAAACCCACCCATTCCCCCCAGGTGAGGACATCCATCACACAGTAATCTCGTGTGTGGGAAATTAACGTCTCCTGCCCCAAACCCTGCAGGATAGGGGACCTCCATTTATTCGTCCCTATCCAAGAAGACTAGTATATCTAACCATTTCTTGATCTTATAGAAAGGTAGCAAATTCTTCTCAATTATTTAAAGACCTCGAGTGTTGGTCCGGCCGGGGCTCGAACCCTCGACCTCCCGCACAACAGTCCAGTGCACTACCCATTGGGCTAACTGGGTGGCAGTTCAAATCTAGAAGTCAATTCACTTTAGTGCTCAAGAGAATTGATCAAAAATCTTAATCAAAAATGCATTTGCACTCAATTCTGCTGACATACATTTTTGTTTTTAACCTTTATTGTTGTTAGGTCCAGTATCACCATCAGCTCTTTTCAAAAAGGTAAAAAACATTGAAGGATTAGCCTGCTAAGTTTGGAAACAAAGCATCTTGCAGAGCAAGATGTGATGAATGTGATTAACTTTCAAGTGCTTTTTTAATGTGAAGTGTAACTGAAACCTTTGACGTGTTCATTTCAGCATTAAAAGGCCATCATGCTGGAAATATCAACCCCATGATCACCAGTTAAAAAGGCTGACATTTATACTTATGGGAAAAAAAAAGAGAGATTGTAAGGGCTAGTTTGAACTAACATGATTACCTTGTCCCTCAGATGTGAGTTCCATGTTACAGATAAAGAACATAAAACCCTTAGCTCCACCTGCTCCTCCAGCAACAAGTTCATTCACCCAGCCTGTTGGATTAATTGCCAACTGATATCAGAAAAGCTATTAGGTAACAACTACAGATGACAAGATGCAGTAAATGACCTAACACCTAACATTTTGTAAAGGGGGTACAAAGTCAAGATAATACAGTACTAGCATAGAATCAGCCATCAGAAAACTCCCACATGGTTATAAGAAGAGACACTTTTAGTATTTGACCTGCAAGTTGAGTGTTGGATATTCCCAAAATATATGCAGTACCATCATTAGTTTGATCTTGGGTGGAAGCTGCTGAGAAGCCTATTCAATGATGGCAAAGATTTCATCTTAGCAAACAGTACAGCATACTTTGAGCCCTCAAGGTCCCTGAATTTCTGTGAGATGTCTGTTTCTTAGCGTTTGTTCATTCTAATATTTGATGAACCTCCTGCATGATTTTACTGACATACCAGCTAACACAGCCTGCATGTGAGATTTCAAACACTGTGCATTATTTTCAGTTTTTTTTTTCCATCTCAAGCAGTCTGCACCAGTTTAGAAGTTATTAAAATTTATACAGAGATATTTTCTTGACTCAAACTCCAGGTCACTCTGTTGTCAAGTTACACTTCATGGCTGTGCTCTAAGAAAAATTGAATGGACCCTAGTGCTCTGAAACTGTGAAATCCAGGGTGCCCCGCATAGCTTTCTATGAAAAAACTAAGATTCTCAAAAGTAAGGCGCCAGGGGCCACCGGGCCCTGCTAGACCACAGCCCTGCACTTGTGAAGAATCTTTCATCATCTGAAAACTTACCTTTGGTTTTGAGTTCTGAAAGCAAACTTCCTTTACCTTCATGACCAAGGAGGTGAGATATGTAATGACAAGGCTACAAAACAAACAATTTTAACAATTTCACTTCCAATCTCCTAAAAGGTGGTACATCAGCATTAAGTGATTATTATTAACTGTAACAATTGCATTTTGTAAATCTGATAAGCACTTAATTAAGATCACTTCATTTTTGTGACAGCCCTAACGTTAGTGAGTTTAAATCAAAATTGAAGAAACATATGAATATTTATTGAATCGCCATTTTATATTTATTTATGATATTTAGCTGCTTCTTATTTGACTTTTTTATATTTTTATTACCTAGTTCTGTAAGATTTTATACATTAATAGGAGACCCTTGATATAGGGCTAACCTCTGGGTTTCCTTTTTCTTAATAACTATGTATTTTGTATGTTGTTCTGAAATAAAGTATAATTGTACTATCACTACCACACAATCATGCTAACAAAATGAATGAGAAAACTCACCTTGCTCTCATAGTATTGGTTAACATCAGGGATTGGAAAGGAAATGTTCAAATGCTTTATATCTTTGATGGGTACCACTTTCAATTCTACCTTCAAAACAAAACAAGAGACCAGTATCAGCAATAATTACATGATTGTATAAGAATCCTGTTGTCATTTCTCAATGATAATCATCCCTATAGTTGTTCAGTCATAGATCACAGATGACATCAAAATGTCATAAGAACAAAAATGGGGCACAGAAGGCAGTGTGGCCTAGTGGTCAACATGTCAAACTCGCAATCCACCACTCCTGGGTTCGAGTCCCGCCCTGACCACTACCTGGATTTGTTTCACAGTAGCTGCAAGTTCAAATTCTCAGCCACACTTGTAACTAGCCAACTGGTTTGCCTCTGGCCAGTTGGGATATGCTTAACAATGCTATGTTCAATTTGAATTATTTATTTCAGTTGTTTGCTCACCCCCACTCGCACTCGTGTGCTTTAAACAATGCCAAGGGTAAATAGAGTTTTTTTTTTTTTTCACAGCTGAGTGTGTCACTAATGCTCTTACCACATTTTGATGTCTTCTGTAATCTATTACAACTTACAGTGTTGCACAGACCAACAACATATGGCAACATGGAATCCTACTTGTTTTATATGATTTTAGTCTCTGTCACTAGATTTTTCTGCCCTCTGCTAGAGTATACAGGATTTCAGCACTTTTTAAATTGTGTTATTCAAAACTAAAAATCTCTTACCTGTACTTGCTCATCACCATAAGGATGATCAGGAAACTCTGGAATAGTTACATTTTTATCTTCAGCACCAGAAAAGAGCTTTATAACCAGGTTTGTCAGGTCATCAAGAGAATCTAAGAAATGAAGTCACATCTTTTTCATATATCTATATACATCCTGGCTTTTACTGGTAACTGCTAAGTAAACTTATTTTAAGAAAAGGAGTAATTCAAAACTTCCAGCATTTTCCAACAATGCCCTAGATAGGAAAGAGCTCAGGTTTACATCTTTAATTTCACATGCAATTATGGGCCTCATATGAACTTATATCATATCTTAGACAATAATATTATAATAATAGTTTTTAAGACATTGATTATCCTTTCTCTGAGAAAGAATAAAACCTCCTAAATGCAGCAAGGCTTAAAGAGGCTCAAAAGAATTTCCATTCATGAAATCAACTGTTTTGAAAGATGGATTGGTGGATTGACCAAACATTTTTATTTACAGCGTCAATGATAGAAATCATACAAAATTATAATAATCAAAAAGAAAGTGGTCTCTTTCCCAAAGCGAAAAGTTAATTCATAGTAACCAAACATCCTCTTGAATCATCCCTCACTTTAGCTCAAAAACTAATTTGCAGAACACCATTTTTTATTATCAAATTGCACTAAGCTTACCATCAAGTTTTATCTTAAAGTTCTAAAAGCTTTTTGACAAATTTGTCAAGGTAGGTTCAGAGCAACCTCAAATTATTATTACCAGCATATTAAGGTAAAAAAAAGGACTTTTTAATGGGGGTTGTGGCGGTGCTATAGAAACATGTTATGTCACAGAAATTGTCATAACTTATTAAGCAATAATTTGGCTTTAGATTGCTATCACTTTCAAGGGAACAAGTGAAAATTTGGGTGACAAATCAGTGTAAGCCACTTTAAAAAGGGGACAAAATTTCACATTTAGAGACACTCAACTCCTACTGTATCCCATGGGAATATAAAATATTTGAAACTTTCATATAGTAGGTGGGACAGTGAATTGGTGTTGACTTCTGGAAGATACATGCACATGTTGTTGCATGATCCAAAGTCCGGGTATAATAACACACCACACTACACAATACTAGCTATAATACTCTAACAAATATAATAATATATACCTCTGCCTAGAACAGCCAATGCCATGATATTAGCTGAGTAATATGAATTGTGAAATTTCAGTAACTCATCACGCACACTAACTCCTTTCTCCTTTGGTTTGGTGTCAAGAGTAAGCTTGTTACCTGTTGCATCAGAGATCCATATATTAAGTTTTACCATGAAAATGTAAAAGGACAGGGATTAAAGTGTGCATGGTCCACTAAATCAGCACCTCCTTCCCATCACCAGTCCCTATTTTGGCTTGTTACACAGCCCACTTAAGTCTACACCAACAGCTGCCTGACTTTTTGGAAACAGTAAGTGATGCATGATTGATGCAACTGCTTAAACCTTTGACCCAAAAGACTGACTAGCATCTAATTTCTCCATACAATAATACTCCTGAATCACATTTTATGGTCACAAGAATAAAGGAAATGATCCTCAACTAAAAAGGCTCTTGATTGTTAAACAAATTCTCCTTTTCAGCACCTTATGAAATGTATTAGAGAACAGTATGGAGAATATCCATACTGATGTTAATGAGTGAAGGGTCATTGCTGGCACGCCAATAAACCAGAAGAAAAGAAATAACTGTAGTTTTGAATGAGGTGGCCATCAAAACAAAAGATTCTTTTGTCAAATCTGTAGCATTGTGACTCAATGCCTCCATACAAATTGTAATTATTTACAATATTTCTCAACTAAAAATCATACAGAGTACCTGACCCAAATTTACTATAAGGATGGGATGGACTGACTGAAGACTTGTCCAACTGGTTTAGTCTCCAAGAATCACTTAAGACATTCTTACAGTGTTCTGAAAAAGGAGAAATAAGATGAAACAATCCAATTATTCCACCACATCAATGCTTGATGCACTAAATTACTCCTGTCCAGCTTTCCTAGTTGTGCATTTCTAATAAATATATCTTATTCAATAAACAATAAATTTCTATACTGATTGACATCTTCACCTGAGTCAACAGCATTGACTTCTCTGTCTGTTGCATCTGAATTAAACAGCGGACATAGAAAAAACTGAGCAAACCTATAATCCAAACATATAGCAAATTTAATCCCAATGCCAGAAGTTCCTATACTTCTAAGTTACAAGTGAACTGTGGAGTAGGAGATGCATCACTCAAATATAATTCTCTGATTCAATGAAAAAAATGACAGAAATTTTAGAAGGACTCATTTTATAAAAAAAAATATCATTCAAATAAATCTAAAACTTTTTTTCTCAACTGATTGGTTATGACTGTTATAATTTATCAAAGCTCAGATTCTGAAGTACTCTGACTCACCGATCCAAGGCTTCCTGTAGACATTCATGTTTAATGTCAAAGAAAAAATTGGTGTGTTCTGCACTAGTGAAAGCATTAGAGGATCCACCATTCTCACTTAAAAACTACAAGGTACAAGTCAACAATCAAGAATCAACTACCAGTATCCATAAAAGATGACTAAAAACTGTGCTTTTAACATCTGATCAGTTACATATAACTGAAGGTCACCTCACAAAATACATATTTGTCACTGATATATTTTCCTGTCAGAATTACACCCTAATCTTGCTTGGGCACCAGATTTTGAAAGCATTTCTTCAAACATTTACAATACATCTAATTTCTTAGCTGATAGAAAAGATCTCGAGTACTTCAAACTATAGTGTAACTGAATAACATTCTTTCTGACTTTCTGAAAAAGAAACAAGCTAATTTTAGAAAATCACATTCAAATAAAGTACATCCAAGCTAAGACCTGTCTCAATTTTCCACAAACTTTGTGCAATCATGAAGACAAATGTTTTCATCACCCCTAAATGTTGTTGTCACAAACACTTGAGAATGTTCATACCTGAGTAAATGAATTCTCTGATGGATACTAAAAAACAAAAATGAGAAAACAAGTGCACAATGAAAAAACAATAAAACTGTGACCAAAGTAGTCTCAATCAATTACTTTTCATGTAATTCCATTTCATTCAGTTTTATTTAGTATAACTATGACTATCAATACTAAAAAAACTGTCTCCCCTCCAAAAATAGTATCTGTGAAAAAATTCTTGCAATATTTAAACTGGGCAATCCCAATAGTCTAGGAATTGAATTGCTTGTACATCAACATGTCTTTACCAAAAATTAAAAACAACATCTATTTTAATATCCATTTGGACAACTTAAATTCAAATGTTATTCTCTCTGTGATGCTTAAGACTCAAGAACTATTGGTGATAGGAATTATACAAAAATCAATCCTTAACCATCTCACTCCCAAGATGTTGTGAGTAATTCTCCTTAATGTCTTCTAAACAATTCTCATAGTTTGGAGAATTTGGTATTGGATCAACTAAAATTCCCCTGATTGATATTTTTCTTTATTCCCATCTATTGTGTATGTAAGATAAGATAAGATAAGATAATTTATTTAATGTAACAAAAAATACAGAGGGTGGTCTCCCAATCCCCCTAGCCAGAGGCTCATGATAAAAGTGTTTAACAAAAAGCTAAAATTGTAATAGCTAAAAGTAGTAATAACACCAATTAAAATAGGAATAATATACATGTATAAAATCAAGTCAAAGGCACCCACTGCATTGAGAGCCGATAAAATTTAACTTAGTTAAAAGTCTCCGGAAGGATGATGCATAAGATGCATTTTTTTCATCAGATGGTAACTGGTTCCAAATACGTGAGATCATATACGCATATGAGCCATGAAGGAATCTGCTCTTATATCAAGTTTGTACTATGTTTCGACCACTACTTCTAAGATTATATGGTGTAACTTGAGGTTTGAATAAATTGGCTATATTAGCCATAACGGTAAGGAGAAATTCTGTCTTGGGACTTTGGGAGATGAAGGGTAAAACTTCATTATACCTTAAAATAGATGACAGTGTATTCAAAACAAGGCTAAAAGATTAGGAAAAAGTTAAAATGTTTGAACTAAACATTTTTTACCCTGATGATGGCAAACAGCCGAAAACATTTGGTTCAAACATTTTAATTTTTCCTAATCTTTTAGCCTTGTATAGAATATACTTTACTAAGTGAACATTATGGACAGATGACAGTCTGTTTATTTGTTCCTTAATAAAAAAGTATCAAAGACAAAATTAATGAGGGGTAACTTGTATCTTACTTTCTCTGTTCCTAAAAACAGCATGTGTTCACAGAAATGGGCAAGTCCCGGTAGTTCAGCTGGATCACTCATACTACCTTGAATTTAAGAATATGTGCAAAAATAAATATAAATTAAAAACAACAACTAATAATATAAGATAAATGGAATTTTGCATTGATAAGCCTTGACATCCTATAATAAAGTAGACATTTTTTGGGGGAAGTACCATAATTATAACCCTATACATTAATTATGTATTTCACTTTGTTGTCTTTCATGACAAAACTTTTAAAACAAACTCTACTAGTCTGAATGCATAATTAATGTATGGGGTTATATGGTACTCTTGCCATTTTTTGTTTCACCTCAGTGTACATTGTCATGAACAGCAGTTTTTTCAGTTTTAATGGAAATTTAATCCTGCTTTTGGTTTCTGATAGCCACGGGCTACTACAAGTGAGTAATGCTGGTATTTTTCTTTCTTGAATGTCCCAACCGACCTGAAAACCTCATAATTGGTTTTTTTATCCAGAATCCAGTAATAACTACCATGTTGCTTAAGTTTTCCTGCATAAGCCGGCAAAAGTTGTAACATACCCAGGTGTTTTTCATCTCTGTTGGTACTGATGGTCTATGTTGTGGTTCATATTTAATCTTGGTGAGAACTTTAAACCAAGGATAAAGTATAGCCATACCATCAAAGATTTGTTTTCATCTGAATTGATGTTCAGATTGTTGACTAGGTAAACTAAAAATTTGGCCGCATAAGATGGGAGACAGAAGTTTTGTGAGAGTTGAACTCAACTCAATGCAAATTTTCTCCTTTGTTCCTTGAGATAAATTAACCAACATGTAAAAGAAGCAAAGTCCGGTTCTGTCCTCGTGTACCGGTTCATAAGAGCCAATACAAAAGACCAAACAATACACAATAGCTAACCAATAACTCCTAAACAAAGAAAGAACAATGGTGATTCCCTTGTGAACCGGTACACCAGGACCGAACGCAAAGTCCCCGTCTGGCATTTTTTTTAAAGGAAAAGCTACAGACTACAGTGCCACTTCTGGGTTTTTCGTAAAGTGAGAGATATCAAGTTTTTAAATAAAATTCTAATTATAACAATCTTTCATGGAGACATGATCTTACCAATGTGAACATCTAAAGCTGCCGCGGATTTATCAGTTGTTGGATCACTGATCACAAGAACTTTCATGTTGTTACACAGTTCTACACCACGGTACAAGCGATCGTCACGCGGAGATTTTGTAATATTATTGTAAATTTTCTTCACTCCCTCCATGTTTTAAATCGAGTAAGTTTCTCACTAACAGCTAAGAAATGTCACCGGTTAGAACCAACAGGCATTAATTAGATGGCCCAGCAAATTTCACTTCGACCCGATCAGTTTCAACTTCCTAAGGAAAGCAGTCTGAAAATTCAAGCGCGAGTTGTGAACAATAATTAAACGTTTGAGAGGATTGCTTTAAAAATGGTCCGGCTTGATCAATTTTCCGTCATTCAGGTTTTGTCAAACGACGCCATGATAATGAACTGAGTCTGTGTGGTCTGTGTCGGTCATATCGACTTGCGGCCAGACTGGGCACTAAGACCTTTCGCGCCAAATTTGTTCCAACATGGCGACAATCTTTGTAGATCCTCTCTGTTCTTCAAATCGAAATATGTTGTAAAATACCTGAAGAGCAATTTTGGGTAGTATTTCAATGGATCACAGGGAAGAACCTGATTTCTCACTGAGCGGGGAAACTGGAGGAGGGGGCGAAAGCGAGGAAGAAATTGAAGTAACTGCTGCTGAAGTTCTCGTTCAACTTGAAAATGTATGATCAATTTCAGTATTATTTTCCTTTTTCCATCAACAAAGCTGGTCGATTCTCTTCTTTTATAAGTAAAATTTCACTTGATAAGAAGCTATGATATTTTCTAAATCGTAATATGTACTATGATAATTATTTCAGTGTTGCACCATGCATGTCGTCCGTTCATTTCAACGAATTCGAACTATCGCCGCGGCTTGTCGACAATCAATGCACCTCGAGATTCTTTAAAACTGGTTTGTTTGAAATGAACACATGTTTTTGCCCCTATTTAAACCTTCTTGACATTCTTCGCGAAAATTAACATTTAGAAAATTCGTTTCAACGCAAAAAAATCCTACCCCCAAAGTCTGCCATATTAGGTAGTAGGGTTATACAAAATATGAAGTGCCATCAACCCACGAGATGAGTTTGCAGACCAAACATGAAACCTTCTTCAGATACTTAAATGTTCTTAACTGTTCAGTTGAAATGTTTCGACAACGGTTCTGGCTGTCTTTATCACTGGGAACTAATAGTAACTTTAAATTGCCCATCACCTCAAACTCTTCAATAAGCAGTGGATTTATTTCTAATCTTAATCTCTATACTGGGGGCTTTGCAGAGCATTTACAGTACAAGGAAATTATGCTAATTCCTCAGTAACAGCTACTTTGTTTCTCATAGGCCTGGATGAATGAAAAATTTGCTCCAGAGCTTTTGGAAAGCAAAGCAGACCTTGTTGAGTGCATGCTGGATCAGATAAAAGAAATGGTGATTTCGTTGATAAATACTTGACTTTTGCTTGTTTTCCATCTTATGATTTCTCTCAGTTAACATGCACGCTATGATTAGTAAATTTAACAGGCTGTATTTCACTGTAAGGCCTACTAAATTGAACATTTTGTTTCAACTGAAATGTTGCCCTTCTACTTAAACCCAGAGATACAATTATACAGTAATTTACTTTCTGGTACCTCATTTTCTCAGTTTGTACAGTAAGTCATGAAACCTCATTTATTTCTGCTGGGATTTATGGCTTGCACCTTTATACTTCAAATGTGGCTCATAAATCTTGGTCTGTAACTTACAGTACAGATTATGAACTTGTGGTTACTAAGAGGTTTAAATACTTTTAACATTCAATTACCCATTGATTTAACTTTTGCATACTTATATTAAGTTCTAATCCACACATCAGCACTCTTACAGCACTCTTACAGCACTCTTGTTTAGTACCTCTTATTACTGCCTTAAAGCACTTGGAATTCTTGAAAATTCAACAGGAAAAAAAACTGCTCTACCAGTTTCAAAATTCCCAAAATAAGAAAGACCACTGCATCTGTAGTCAGTTACTTAGTTTTATTTAGTGAGATAAATGTTACCTTAATCACTTTTTGTCTTTTGTCAGGAGGGAAATTTGAAGAAAATAAAGCAGGGAGATGTTGTAGCATCATTGCATAAATTAGAGGTGAGACAGTATAAAGTTAATTTACTTAATAATTATGTAAAACTAAGGGATCAATTTAACTGGGGCGGATCCAGGGGTGGTTTGGTCAAACCTCCTAAATTTTCCCTCAAAATGCTGGAAATCGTTTCCTAAGACCTAATTTCCAAATTTCCCAGGGGAGCATACCCTTAGACAATTCTCTGCACCCCCTTGACTAAATCCTGGATCTGCCACAGTTTTAAGTAAGTTGTTGGACTTTTTCATGACTGCAAGAAAATTTTCTTCCTAAAAGAAGTTTGTGTAACAAGTCTCTCTTTTAAGTTAAAAAGAGATAGAAATAAAGTGAGACACTTTGAATGCATCAGTTTGTTGCTTCAATCATTTTTCAACAGTGTTACATAAATCAAAATACTTCCTTTTCTTATGACTATTTATTAATTTAACTTTCATTTGTTAATTAAGGGAAAACATTTCTATCCATAATCTCTGACCATACTTAAGATTTCATCAAACCCAAGATACGTTTAGTTATTCCTTGTTGGATGAGCAACACCTGCTGCAGCTCTGCTTGTTTATTAGTTGTTGTCCTCTGGACACCCTTTTAGAATATTTTTTCCTTCAAGAAAACACTAACCATGTTGCCGCTAAAACATGGTCTGTGAACCATTTTGAATCATTCTACATCAGCAAAGTTACCAATTATATATGCTGTGGACAGCAGTTCATAGCTACAGGTAATATAATCTTGCATTGTTTTGTAGATTGACAGAATACGATTTGTACTGAGCAGTTACATCAGGACAAGGTTAGAAAAGGTAATGTTATCCTATCCTATGAAATGAATTCATCATCACACTGTTTTAATTTTTTGCAGTTGTTTTCAAGCTTTAATGCATTAACTACATTGAACAATCTTGTCTTCTAGATTGAAAAGCATGTTGTCCATGTGCTTGAACAAGAAGCAGCAAGAGAAGAAGATGAACCCTCCCGTTTGTCCCCAGAAGAACTTCAGTATGCTAAAGCGTGAGTTAACTGACTATTAAGTTTTCAGTAGTAAACATGTCTGTGTTGTGGATTTTGCTAAACTTACTGTATATTAATAGTTATCTTAGATGATTTGTTAAAAGCTCTAGTGCTGTATTCATTCCTTTTGATTATTTTGAAGGTTAATGTCAACAATGCTAAGGTATTTCATTTGAGTGTAAAAGTGTAAAATCAAGTTAAAGGAATTCCTCAACAAATTTTTTTAAATTTTTTTTACAGATATGCAGACAACATGGAGAGTTTGTTCAAGTCTTTGGCATTGCAACACATGCCAGCAAACATGCAGAATATTGATAGAAAGAAAGCAGGTTGGTATGAATGTTAAAAGAAGCTTCCACTAGGGCTCACTATTGAGATATGTTTGTGTTGAAGAGCTGTTGTTTTGATGAGAAGGACTAACAATACACTAATGGGGAGTCACCACCAAGTAAACAGAAGATATTTAAGAGTCTTAAAATGTTTTCCTTATTGTTTTACAACTTATTGCTGCTTTGATAATGAATTGATACTAACCTCCAATCATTGTAGTGTCCTAGGCTCAGAGCTATTCTAATTTTGCAAAAACCAAACCTTCATACACTGATTGTACTTTGGTAAAAGTTTTACAAAGGTCACCGAATTCACTTTCAAGTTAAAAACACAGTGCAGTTAGAATTTGTAGAACCTTTCATGTGAAACAAGTGATCTGAACTTGTCATCAATAGTCAATAGTTTCAAGTGGTTGAAAAGGAAAAAATTAAGAAACATGACAGCATTGACTTGTCAAAGAATAAGGATTAGATCATATTGGAACAGTTCTAAGCTGTGTTAAAGGAATTGGTAGAAGAATTCCTGTTAGGATTCTTTTCAACAACTTCCACTATGTGATTTCTGGCAACACTTGCAAGTCACTTTAAATTTGTTCGATGGACTATGACCCTCCTTTTTGTTGAAATCCATTAGGCTGGTAAAAGAAAAAATGAGTGAAAAAAAAATCAAAGTAAGCCCTCTGCATGGAACTCTGGGAGTAAGGTGCTCAAAAACGCTTTACTCCCTGAACTCATTCCTGCACACAATTGTCAATTTTTTTTTTTCCAGACTTTTTTTTACTCACGCGACAGACTTTGCTAAAAAGGAAGGACTGCTCGTGGTCTAATAGTTGTATGATTTTCTCTCCAGTTCCATGGCCAAACATGGACAAATATGTGTTTTTGAAGGTTCTGGAGAATCAGGACCAAATCATGATCGATCCTGAGTGAGTGTTGTTTGTTTGAGAGGGTCAAAATATTTTCTTTGTCCGTTACTAAGGAAAAGTCATCAATCGTAATAATAATAAAACAACAACAATACTGATATTACTACTACTAATAATAATAAGAAGAAGAAAAATAATGATAATAATAATAATCAGGGCTCAACACTAACTTTTCAACTTACCGGTCCAGCCAAGTGGCGGGTGACAACTTAAATGTTACAACAACTTCAGTTTGTTTATAAGCCAAACTGGCCCGTGGAAATCGAAAATCACTAGCCAAAACTGAATTTGTACTAGTCTGTGGCTAGTTGGCTACCATTAGTGTCAAACCTTGAATAATGCATTATTGTTACAGCGCCATGTCCATTAGCTCACGGCGCTTTACAGCACTTTACGGGGAATTTTGGCCAAGCTACATTGAGAAAGTTTACAATTTTTGAGGGAAATTTTGCAGATGCCCCCAAATTTGAGGCCAGATCACCAAACCAGAAGCTACGTTCCCTACTCTTTACTAGAATTGCGTGGGTTCTTTAACGTCCCCTGCTAACCAGTACAGAAAAGGCACAGGAGACGAGGCCTACGGTTTATCGTCCTTATCCCAGAGAGTCTAAAGAAGGACCACTTTACTTCAACGGGAATAGCGTATCTCTCGGTCGCTAGTTTATCTGCAGTTGCAAAATGGATTCAAAATACGTGACCTGGTGCAGTGATTGATCTTACACTCACCATTATTATCTTTCTCTGCTTGTTTTTATAGCGAGGAGCCCATCGACTTGGAGGATAGAGCACAATATATCATGCGTTACAGTGCTGTAGCTCCACTTCTCACCAATGGATCCGTATCTCTTCTGTGACGCCTCGATCAGCCGTGCGATGTCTGTCTACTTCAAACGGTTACAAAAGACGAAAACAGCGTTCGTAATTGCTTGAATAGCCGAGAGACTTCATGCAAGAAAACTAATGAAATTTTATCACTTTTCTCACTTCCTCTTTCAAGCAAGTTTTCCTCAACGCCTTGAGAATGCCTCTTTTTTTTTTGCCCGTTCAAAGTACGTCATTTTTTTCTGATTGTCCCAACATGCGAATTTTTAAAGTATTATTTTGAAAGATATGGCTGATCTGCTTCTCTGCTCCCAAAGAGGTTGAGTATATTTTGGAAAATATAGCACTTTAAGGTAATGATCATTCAATACAAGAACGGAGAGTTTGGAAATTTACACAAAAGTTCTTGTACAATGTAGTAGGACTGCATGAGTGGAACTAATTTCAAAAAGTGTTCAATAGAGTTCTTTGGTTTGAAATTTGGGAGCGCGATTACCCTTGAAATTTAACGTACTTAGACTTCAACACTGTATTGTTTTCTTTACTTTGTCAAGCAATTTAACTTGTTACTTGTAAGTATTAGAAGAAAAACAGTGGAGTCCCATCGAACTTCTAACAATATCTCTTGCCTTGATTTTGTTTCTTAGCATAGAGTAGGTATTTTTATTTCCAATTTGACTCGTCCGACTTACAAGCATTTTCAAATCGGATGTCCGATCGGACAAGTCCTCGCTAGGAGTCTGCGCTACATCGCCATTAGTTAACAAGAACTGCGAAGAACCTGTGAGTATACACCGAATTGAAATATGGCGTCCAATTTGAATTACCATTGTTCTGGACTTACTAGCCTCGTCTTCACGTGGAAAACACAAAAGGATTATCACATGTGTGAGAGGCTAGTAATTGGACGCCATATTTCGATTCGGTGTATTCTACGAAAATTTTAACCACTTAGCTCCCATCGAGTGATGCGTCGCTCTTTAACAAGATAATCAAAATCACGTCAACTCAGCTCATTATTTTGCGACATTTTTGAGACCCGATGAAATGTTTTATATGTATTGCTGTAAGGACGTGTTACACGGGATTTGAGACTCTCCCGTGACCTATCAAGAAGGTATTGACCCACTTTGAACATCCCCGCACGCGAATAGTGACTTTGCGTGACTTAAACTATTTATTTAGCATGTAGCATCTAATGGTGGGGTCCTTTTTGAAAACACATTTATAGGTATAAAACTTTGCTCGTTTTCTTTAAATTGATTTCTGAAACAGTGACAGGAAGCTATCTAGACTTCAAGATGCAATTATTTTCCTTTACGTGGCATCATGAGTATCACGGTACCATCATGGTTATATAAACCTCAACTCTTACATAACTAATTCCAAACACGGAGAAATGTCGTTGAAGGTCCTGCCGCGCTAACATTTAAGTTCACAAAATATATTTTTATTCAGATTGTCCGAGAAAAGGTTTTCCCGTTGAAGTAGGAAAATGAGAGCAAGCGAAAGTTCACGTGTTTATGTGGTATTACCGTATTTACGAACACGTGATGTAGTACTAACTGGACATGTTGGTGACAACGAGGATGAAAGGTCGTAAAAAAAAACGAAAAGAGCGAAAATAATTTAATAACTTTAAAACCGCATGGTAAGATTTACCGATTAGTCGGAATTTAAGGAAGCTGAGAGTTAAACATTGACGACATATAATATATTAGCTTAACCACTGGCGACAAATTCCCGGTGGTGTAGTCATTAAAGAAAGAGAACAAAGCTTTCTCGGAAGAGTGACGAAGGACAGTTTCTGGTTGCAATATGTCATTACGCAAATTGCACGTGTGCGTGTAGAGCGGAAGTTCACTTCGATTGGTCGCTTTTGATTCGTTCGACGATGTTCACGTGAAAGGATACTGACTAGTAAACAAACTCAGACCGTGCCGTAATTAAACGTACTAACTCATCTCGTTCATTTAATCTGAGACGTATTCCGTCTCGGAACACACTAGAAACGGTTGCAGAGTGTAACAGCTTTCTTTCTAGTTACGATAGAGAAAGTTATTGTGCGTTATTACAAATTTCCTACACCTGTGTGGGAAACTCCTGAGCTCCTTGCCTGCTAGTAGAAGATTTTTCAATACTAACAGTTGTTCACGAGGAAAATGGCTCCAAATCAGTCTTTAAAATCTTGTGTGGTTAACATACGTTCTTGCAGAAAAAGTGACTCGGAGCTCGTGAAAAACGACAAAAGAGTGCATTTTGCGGATTCAATGGGGCTTGCTCTGGTATCCATCGTTTATTTACCTCAACCTCCTCCAAGAACGAAATTACTTTGGCAGCGAAGATGCAACGGGAAAGTTAGGCCATTAAATTTTATACCACCAGGGGAAAGAAGAGACTTCCATGAAAGACTGAACAGCTTAAACGTTTCCCTAGAAAAAATCGTTTTGCGGAACTCTGGGGTCTTTGGAACAGTAAAAGTTCGAAATTTGGCGTACTAGAAAAGAATTACCGTCCGGTATACGATTGATGGTTGGTCAAGTTATCGTGATGTAGTCGGTAATTATGCACCCGACTCTCACACTGGATTCACTGACACTTTCTCCTTTGAAATAGCCTTGCCGACAACCCTAACCAAAGACTGCAAACTGGAGTTTGCTGTGTGCTACAAGGTACTCGGAGTAGAATTTTGGGACAATAATAGTGGAGACAATTATCGTGTTATGTGCCATTCACCGAACCAGTGGAAATCTCAAGAATGGGTTTATAATAATAACAGTAGTTTAAATGTTTATGCGCATATACAATACAGATACGTGGGGCTTGGATTTTGAAAATTAACGATGTTTAAATGTTAAGTTGAAATAAGATCTTATCGAGAAGTTTTTTCACCGGCCTAGAATCGAACTCTAACCGGTGTATTAAAGCGTCAATGTGTTTCAAGATACCTATTCAAGCATAATTTTTCCGGAACGTCTTCAACGTAAAGATTTTTCGGAGTTTTAGTTTCTTACTGATCATTTGGTCGGTATAGTCATTTTAAAGTTTTCAAGGGGAAAGTCAGATGCCTGTCAAGTCATCTTCTTGAGCTGTCTCCGTAACAACATCTTACGTTGCTAACGATAAAAGAATTTTGTACTCGTGTATAAATCATTGTGTCGAAGGTCGAGTTGACGTCTTATTTATTTCTTAATTTGGTTATATAAATGGAGAGACATATTAAATTAATCGTTCCTGAATATTTGACTCTGGATTTTTATCTCAGTGCGAGCGTGATCTATGGGTGGGCCAATATGGGGAAGCTCAAGAGCATGATATGTGCCCTTGCTATTTTTAAAAAATCACTGGTAAATTTAGGGGTTGTTGATTTGTGGTTGTGCACACATTTTTTTAAATTTTCTGCCAAAGGGTAATCATAAGATAGTTACCTCATAATTTGATCACATACAATACTTGATTTGTGGTTGTGCACACATTTCCTTAAATTTTCTGCCAAAGGGTAATCATAAGATAGTTACCTCATAATTTGATCACATACAATACCAAACAGTATTTCTGGTGTTCCATTTTGATAATATCCAGTGTAATTTACATCAAAGTGAAAAGTGAAATGGACTATCAGAAAACTTAAGGTATGTGGATTGCTATATAAAGATTCTTGCAGCAGAACTGCAAAACTTGTGCTTGTGACCCCCAGACTGACCATGTGCACCCTCAGTCATTAACAAAGCTGGTTGTACTATCATTGCTTGTTGTAAGAGGAAAATGATTAAGAAGGAACGAGAATAGTACCACCTACTCAATCATCAATCGCCACATAAAAAGTTTATCAAACCATCCCTGTCCTGATGACAAATAATGAAGCCAATACTTGAGTATCACACATTGCAGATTAGCATTATCTTAGGGATACAAATATCTAGTCTGTGCTTTGTTATTTCCAAACAGATAACTGATATTAATGTACTTGGCTTAATATTGATCAGCTTAGTCTAACAATTCAGTCAGGCTGTCCAGTTAAAGCTGAGGGATTCCAAATAAACGAACAGAAAGATAAATGGTGGTAATTTGTTTATATACATTAGTTATTTGCAGTCAAGCAGTGCCAACACAGAGTAAAAGAACCCATGTGGTAAAAAAGGTTATGCACAAATGAACAAGAGCAGTCGTGCCTGAAACAATGTAGGAAATACGAAGATGAAGTGAAGCAAGTCCACTGTGACGTCTTGCAGTGACCTCACGTACAGTACTCTCTGCCTACTCTTTACTTGATGACATTTACTAATCATGCAAGGGATATAAGGTTATATGACCAAAGTGAAATTTAATTCTTAAAGTTAAAATATGTACACCACAAAATAAAACCACTTGCATGAAAACAATGGACATGAGCCAATATTGGTCATCTATAGAAGGTATACACAAGAATCAGTATTGTGGTGGGCATTACTTAAAGAGAGAGAGCGAGTGAGAAAGAGATGTAACCAAAACTGTTCTCCAGAAAAGGTTTTACCAAGGAATAGATATACCTCTGCCTATGGCCAAATTTCTGATTCTCCCTTTTTGTTCACAGTTAATACTATTTCCTGTGACTTTTTTCCTCAATGTGGTTTATGTTTGTGAATGTTTGCATTGACGTCATACTGGTAAGAAAGAAAAGAATGTTAATCATGCTTAGCAAATTTTAGTAACTTAAATCAATATCAAGTTTTGCATTTGTGAGCATCCTCGTAAAATAAATGGTTTCCTACCCAGGGATAGGGAACAGAAAAAATGCAAATTTGTTTTAAGATATTCTTGAACTTTGCTTTGTTTGTTCTCAGACTGTTAAATTAATCCCTAACAGAGTTGGTAAGATTAAGAATAAAGGAATAATTCCTCTGGGAGTAAAATCCAGTAAACGTTCTGGAGTTATTTTTTAAAAACAAATACCCTAAAATACCAGTGACTGCCAGTCAGCCATGAAATGATCATATAATCGCTTAAAAGGTGTAAAAAGTTGTTATATGTCAAGTATACAATATCATGTCATGTTCTTAAGCTTCAAAGCAAAGAAAAAAACAACATACTGTTATTCTCGAAACTGTCTAATCTGTTAGAGACCTGTCACTAATACAGTGATCTTTACAACTTTCATGATGGCACAAAAAGACCTCTTAATTTATAAATACCTTAAGTTTAGAATTTAACAATGCGGAATTTTATCAGCCTCAAAAACAATCTAGCACGTACACCAATGACCAACTGTTCTTTATAAAAGTTTGACAGACCCCTGCCGTAGTTTCCAATTTTAAGTCATAGCTGGCTGAGCACTAGCCTTATTTCACCGATAGTCTTCAAGAGTGTGGCAAAGGGTTTATATGTGACAAATGTTAAAGGCCAAAATCAATACGCAAGCATGATTCATGAATTTATGAACATGTGAGAAGCATGAATTGCCTACTGAAAAGTACAAGACCCATGAATTTTTTTCTGAAACCTTGCACAAAAGAACAAAAATTTAAAGTTTTCCCTTTTAAATTTGTGACACATGAAATGTTCTTTAGAGCACATATAAGTGGCATACAAACTTTTAACTATTGCTTCTGGTTAGAGATTAGGACCCCCATTTGCAACCTTCAAGTTCACCTGGCCTTGGTCTTTGGTGGGTGGATTCAAATCAGATATGCTCACAAGTTTGTGTGTTGTTTTCCCTGTTATTCAAAGTAAGTTGCAGTTTCATCCTCATTCACTGGGGCTGGGCAATATCAAACTTCTGCAACATGAAACAGCCACAAAAAATGGAGCCTTAATGGGCTTCAGTTTTCTTTCAAACTAGACTGTATTTCATTTCTACATGTTTCCTTTGCTTTCCCATCTTGCCTTTTGTTCAAATGCCCAATGAGGCTTTGATTGTTTTCTCCTCTTAGCTTTTTCATCCTCAGCACCTTTTATCTTTGAATAGTCTCTACATTCAACAGCTTGAGCAACTTTTACTGCAAAGTCATGTTCCATGAGTTGCTTGTTCAGTTTTTCTGAGAGTTCAAACTTTTTCTCTTTAAGTGCAACCTCCAGATTTCTTTCAATTTTATTCTAAAAAGCAAAACATGACAACAGGTAATGTAATGATAATTAATAGTTAGTGGTTGAGTGAAAATCAAAGCAGATCATAACACATTGATGCCCCATATTTAACAAGCACTAAAAATGTTCCAACCACTAGAATATGGAAAGTATTTTTCTTGACTGGCATTAACTCCTATTTAGCATTAAAATTCAAATTTTATGACTGGTATTAATGTAATATTTCCAAAATAGATACATAAAATAAGTAAAACTCACGAAAATCACCTTTGGTATGTATTTCATGTGAGCTGTTTCATGCTCTTCTAAATGTACAGCTGAGTTGAAATATTGTTGCAGTTCATTCCATCTTTTCTCATTACCTTTTTTCACTTTGATTCTGTGAATCAAAACAAAAGAAAAATGTTATTTAAAACAAATTTGGTTACGATGAATATATGAAGTTCATATATTTTGAACTGCGGTTATTGATACGTATATGATGCAAGATCCTAGCAGTAGAGAGCGCTATTTATGCAAAAGCGAAAATCAGACCTGAAAAAAGTCAGGCCTGTACGGGATTCGAACCACTGACCTCAGTGCATAAACAGCACTCTCTACTGCGAGGATCGTGCATCATATAACCGCAGTTCAAAATATATGAACTTCATATATTCATCGTATCTGATTTATCATCACAGGTTTATTACGAATCAACTTAACGGCCTGCTCCCAGTTGGCTTGTTAGCTCAATTGGTAGAGCGCTGCACTAGTATCGCAGAGGTTAGTGGTTCGAATCCCATACAGGCCTGATTTTTTTCAGGTCTGATTTTCACTATTGCATAAATAGCGCTCTCTACTGTGAGGATCGTGCATCATATACGTATCTATAACCGCAGTTCAAAATATATGAACTTCATCGTATCTGATTTATCATCACAGGTTTATTACGAATCAACTTAACGGCCTGCTCCCAGTTGGCTTGTTAGCTCAATTGGTAGAGCGCTGCACTAGTATCGCAGAGGTCAGTGGTTCGAATCCCATACAGGCCTGATTTTTTTCAGGTCTGATTTTCGCTATTGCATAAATAGCGCTCTCTACAGCGAGGATCGTGCATCATATACATAAAACAAATTCTTAAGTAATCCTGATCTTTATAAAAATGACATCACATTCAGTTGTTTTAAGTATCCCGTTGAAAACAAATTTAATTACTCTCATTCAGAAAAAGTTCTGGTGTCCTATGGATTTGATCGATTCTTGCATATTGGTGCTTACTACATGAAATACACAGTATACCAGTACCCCTAACTCGGTGAAAATTATTGAAGTTTGAAAAATTCTGTATTTTAATAAATTTCTCTGCCAAAATCAAATAATTTTTGCATCAAATCACTATGAAGCTGAATATAACACATTTAAATGCTTACAAAGAAATTCCAGTAACACCACATTACAGTATGCCGTGACTGGTGCATTACTGTTGTGTATAGATTTACCCGTATGCAAATCTATTTTGAACTATAGTTAGTGATAAACATTTCAAGACACTTTAACCATTAACAAAAGTCATGGAAACTTTTTTGCAAATGAATTTTAAATTTTCATACAAACTAAGGAGAGCTTGTGTAGAAATGAGGACAGTATTTCACTTATTAATAGGAATGTGCCAGGGAAGGCTGGGGACTATGTATTTAGTTCACAAATCTTTCAAAATATTTCCAAAAGCACTCAAATTTCTTGCCTCATAACATTTCATACAAGTTTATTTTGTTAAAGAAAAATCTAACTAAACAGCATTTCCCAACCTCCAGATTTCAAAAGTGTTAACCTCCCTCCTGAAAACATTCATTTCTACCACTTGTTTTCTAGCCTCCTCTCTCAGTTGAAAATGGCCTCTGATATTACTACAAATGTTAGGACAAAACTGCAGTAAACAGAAATTGAAGCAAGTTTCTATTGACAGGAACAACAATAATGGAGACATCTGAATAATTATATTGCCTACACTTACTTCTCTTGCATATGTGAGAATTCAGTTGGTCTTCTTTTGTTTCCTGCCTTTTTAAGGATCACACCTTGGTCCCGGAGCTCTGCAACTTCTTCATCTCTTGTGAAGTTATCCAAAACTTATTTGATAGATCAGATTAAGAATAAAACAGAAAAACTCAGTTCTTAGTTTTCTCACCATTCTGCCAGTTTTACCAGTGACATTTATTATTCACTTTTATCCCAGCAATGCATTATACCACACTTACATAGTGGCCAAGTTATTCCTCCTACCTACATGAATCACTAAACCTTTTGACCCTTTGGAGTGACTAATATCTAGATTTTCCTTATAATGTGGCCTCCAAAAGGTCGATGAGGATCAAATAAATGATTGCCAACTTAAGAAGCTCCGGATTGTTTAACCAATTAAGGTAATTTACACATGAGAAGTGTAAAATCCATAATTGACATTTTAGGTCTACAGTGAGAAAATGAAACTGTGAGAGTTGATATTGTTCAAGGCTAAAATTAGAAAAGCAAGAGAAATGCGAAGTACCAGTATTTTGATTCACAGGTTTATATCATTCACTATTATTTGTTTCTTAAATTAGAATAAACTTTTAATCCTTAACACCCTAACGTCAGTACACATAATTATTCTCCATACTGTTCTGAATACATTTCTTAAGGAGCTGACAAAGAGAATTTCTTCAATAATCACTAGCTTCTTTAGTACATGGCTGATAATTTCCTTTATTCTTGTGACCTTTACGTTAGATTCAAAGGTGATATTGTAAGGATAAATTAATTGCTAGTCATTCTCAGAGGCTAAAAAGTTGAGGGCACTGCTGTTTAGGGTGTTATTTCAAACAAATTACCAAGATTCTTGCTTATCATTTACAAACCACAACCTATGAGGCACTTATTCTTATTCTTTCTGTTGAAGTTCACAATTTAAGTATCACTGTTTTGTACTGAAAGAATTTTAAATGTTCTTCTGATAAAATTCACCTGATGTTGTTGCTTTCTTCCTAAGTTCTTTAACCCTCTTCTCTGTTGAAACTTTACAGCACTGCAGTCTTCGTTCTCTCAAGTGCTGAAATCTCTGAATTTAGGAAAAATATCATCATCTTCAAAAATATAAAAATTTTCAGAAAATTGTTGTAAAAAGTCGTAGTTAAGCATTTTGGCTTGAAATGTGGATCAGAAATTGTACGGCCAGCTTATGTGCAAAGCTTTTGTTTGTATGACCTCACTGATATTAATTACTGTTCCTGCAAAAAATATGTCAGATCAGCTGTAAAGTAATTGTTAATCTTTACTTCATAAAATCTTTGCAGGCTAATTACTTGTACACAACTATTCTACCACAATAAAGAAAAGACTAGGCCTAAAATTCTAAAGGATAACAACTGACAGTAATTATCATCAAAGCATTTCATCAATTTAATAGATAATCAATTTCATCCAGAATTGGGCCATACCATTTAATATCTGCACCCCCCTATTGAAGGCCTGGGATTTCTTAGGGGGAGGGGGGGTCAATGCTATATTTTTTCTTAGGGGGGTTCAACAATATTTCTGAGAGGGGTCGCCATAAAGTACCCTTGATAGAAATTCTCACGAGTAGTTTCTAAAGGGGGTTCAATTGGTTTGCTTGATAGCTACATAAAATTCTAAAGGGGGTAATTTCAGGCAATAGGCCATTTTATTTAGTTGCCAAGCCTTTGATTCAGAGTGAGGCTGAAGGTGACCTGACTGTGATAGAGACCTGTATATAGTTAGCATGATAACAAAGTGATTTACATTTGAAAGGCAGCAAGGTTTGTATCATAACAAGGTCAACCCTAGCCTCACTCCCATTCAAAGGCTTGGCAACCAAGCACACAACAGTAAAATGGACTATTCTGAAGGGGGTTAAAAAATTTCTTTTCTGGAGGGGTGTCACAGGAAAGCCTTCAATAGGGGGGGTGCGGAGTTTAAATGGAATGGCCCATTTGGGCTGACACTGTTGAAACCAAGAACCCGTCTTTCACGACATACATATATCCTTTATTTTTAAAGCAGGTTGAAGAGTGACAGCATAAGCTGCTGTGGACCTGCTATATTATCCTTCATGATATACATGCAAAAATTGAAGTGAGAATCCGATCATTCAATGATAAATTTGACCAATGACACCCACATGTATAAAAACTTTTTCGAATACACATTTGTACCTGCCACGTTTCTTCTGATATCCCACGTGGAGGGCCTTCTTTTTCTTTGCTCCCACTGCTTTCTGGAATCGATTGCTCTGGGGGAGGAACGGCGGCATACATATTACACTCAACATAACCATCCAATTCCTTCTTTATATCCTGCCATTTTGTAATTTAACACATACAGTACATTAGATGTACCATAAACGACGTGCTTCTCAAACAAGGATAACTTCACCAGCGTAGGTACGTCATGTATGGAGAACTATTTTGTCCCAATAGTACCCCTAGCGAACTTACCGCTGACAAGAAGCCGTAATTGACCCTGGGCTCGAGAATAAGCTCAAGATTGGAAAGCACGCAAAAGGATCACGAGAGGAAAAAAAGGAGGAAGTGCCTGCTCGATTGTCTTCCACCAACATCTGTGGGCATGTTTTCCCGATTGAAGAATGTCTATAGATTTGGTTCTGCATGTCAGCGATTACTTTACCCTTACTCAAAGCGCTTTAGGATGAATTTTGGTACGACGACCCTCCTTAAAAGCGTGGAGCCTGCCGTGCTGAGCGTTCGAGAAACAGAGAGCGATGGCATGTTACATGTAACATGGAACGACAACAGAGTAAACCGCTATCCGTTTGTCTTCCTTCGCGACATCTGTCGATGCTCTGAATGCTTCCACGAGTCTTCCCTGCAACGAAGATTAGATACAATGAGCCAGTTGAAGATGGGCATCCAACCAAAACGAGTGGATGTTTTGCAAAGTGGTAAACAAATTGCTGTCACTTGGCCAGATGAACATGTCAGTGTGTTCGATTCTGGGTGGCTTCACTCCCGGCGCTTGGCTGAGAAGTCGCAAGAGGTTGGAGCTAAAGAAGAACCAACGCTAGACAAGGAAGGTGTAAATTTTTGGAACGCTGAACAGGTAATTATGCGATTTGTGCTTGTTGAAATTGGATTATTTAGCTGGTATCTTAAACTACTTCCAACTCTTTGATGGATCTTAGCCTCAATGCTTTTTTTATTTGTTTCCTGGGAAATTAGTGTAAAGAATGGGATAAATTGTAATTATATTTCTATGGATTAAGGTTATCCTAGCAACTATACAACCCCTTTACAACAACCTTATGTTTTGCTTTATGTGCCTGCAACTCAAAAACTGCAGCAGTAACCCCCATTTTATTACTGAATCGTAGTGAAAAAGTTAAGATAAGTCTTTCTCCAAATGTTGAGTAAAATCAGTTCAGTCGAGAGCAACCTTAGCTTTTTTTTTTAAGATGCTTTCTCCTACAGTACGCGCAAAGAATGATAAAACTTAAGCAAGTGAGTTATACCATATCACGAGTCAAGTTCGAGTCAACGTAGGTTCTTCCTTTTAGGTAATCTTTTTTATTATTATTTCTAAGTCAAGGTTATGTACAAGGGATATAAAACAACCTAGTTTTAAGCTTAAAACATTTTTACGGCCGTTCCCTGGGGTTAATTCTGCGCGTTGATGGATGGGCAAAACTCTTACCCCCAGTCCATTGATTACCCTGATGGACTACCCAAATGTACTACTCTAAAATGGACCAACTCTTTTAGTCTTTTGTATTTCGCTAGCCACAACTGACAAATACGCGATTACTTTAAAGTCCATCCTACGAAAATTAGCTCGCAGTCGTGTTACTTCAGTATTGGTCATGAAGTAAGGTTAGAAATCGATGGTATTCATTGTTTCGTTCTTCAGCATATAGATTGACACAGATATTTGCCATGTACATCAAAGACTCTTCACAATCAGCCATCTCTAGATTCAGTGATACATGCAGTTTACAGCAGCAAGGTGATCGAAAGCGAAACACGACAACACGGCATGTTGTTATCACTCGACACGTTTCTATCGATCTAAAGAAGAGTCATGCAAAATGTAAGTATAAACAGTTCCATAACAGGATAAGAGGTCTAAGAGTGCTTAATAACAATTTAGAATACGGGAATTCTTGTCTGTGGTGAAATTGACACAGAAAAAATAAGCCGTTTTAACTGTTATTTTGCAAGGAGGAAAAGATGATTCAAACTTGACTCGTGACTTATCATTAAAAGTTGACGGAAGCTCGAAATTGACTTGTAATTCGGTAAAACTCTAGGCAAGAACCTTACAAATTTTTTTTTTGGCTTTGAGACGACAAGCCATCTTGAGACAACTGCAATAGGTACTGGATCCTCCACTATACTTAGAGACACCGTGGGGACCAGGACAAGTGCGCCTGGCTCGATGTTTACAAACAATTGCCAATAGGAATAGCATCCAGCTTTGAACTGGCTGAAAGTCGTCACTCGAAGCAGCTGGTTGATATAAAAAAAAAAAATTGATGGACATAGATCTCTGCAATTGAGTGTGTTGGATTCACACCATTACACCATGTGAATTTAAGATCTGTTGCCAGTCACAAAATAGAGTGCACTAGCTAGGCACATTTGAGTGGTTAAGGTGTGCCCCAGATGGAGCTTTAAGGCGAGTTTTGGGACTCTAGAAAAAGTGACCCTTTATCCTGAACAGAGGTCTTAGCTTTCTTCAAAAGAGGTAACAATCACACAGGCCATTTGAATATTTTTTCCCGGATCAAAGTGTCTGTCTCCTGAATGAAAGTTTCCCATGACTTTGAAAAAGTGGTACCCAAAAGAAGAGGTTTCAATTTATACCCTCCATTTGGCTCAGATGTTTGTCCCCAGTTATTGACCCAAGAAATGAAAAGTTTTCCAATAGCTGACTTATTTTCGCAGCAGAAAAGATGACAAAAAGACGCATTGTACAATTTAACACTTCTGGTACTGACTCTGTTGTAGCTTCACGGCAAGATATCTCGTCATGACTTTCGTGAAGTGATGGAGGATGACCACAAACTGTATGAGTGGCTTTATACACTTCATAGCTTAGGAGTTGCACTTGTAACAAACACTCCTCTGCAGACTGGCGAATGCTTTAAATTATGCAGTTGGGTTGGATTTTCGAAAACCACCCATTACGGGTAAGTGTATTTCTTATTTTTACGGTTTAGATCGGCCGGAACAGGAACGAGATTGATGATATAAAAATTATAATTGATCTATCGGCAGAATCGAAATTTCACTCGAAAAGATAGCTTACGAGAAAATAGCCTTAGAAGAACAACAAAATAAACGGAGAATTCAGAAAAAATAAGGGCGTTCGTAAGTACCGCCCCCTGACGTGGTCTTATCTAATTTAAAATTCAGTGAGGAGATGAAAAGGCATAAGCTGTTTACCCTCAGGGTCACCTTTAAGAAAGAGGTGTTGAAGGTGTTAAATTCAAATTTAAGAAATATTCCTAGACCGTGAATTTGGCATAGAGTTTGTTCTAAAAAAAACGAGTCTGAGAATAGTCAAAAGTATAAGAAGTAGGAATTTCCAGGAATTCCTGTACCAGCTCGAGGTTAACTTTTACCAGAGAGATTTACTCTCTTTCCTAACTAACAAACTGACATAATTAAAAACATAGCTTACCACAAAATACTACAACAAGTTCTAATCACCATAGAAACTGAACACCTGCTTCCATGCCAAATTCACAACCACAATAAGAAAAAGGTCAAAGAAATTGTACATAGATGAGACCGCCAAACGGAATAAGAAATAATCAACCTGCTTACTAAAATTTTTGCCTCGATTGGCTTAAAATAATATAATATTTTCATTCCTTTCCCATCAGCTTTATAAGGAAACCCTTACAATATTTCAGACCAAATATAGCTCTATTTTTATTGTTTAACACTTCATTTTGTGTTTTGTCAAGGTACAGCTTCTTCACTTTATCGAACAAGTATCGAGCGAAGGTGGCGTCAATCAGTTTGCCGACGGATTTCACGCTGCAAAGCAGTTGAAAGAAAATGACCCAGAATCTTTTAAGCTGTTGTCTACCACTCCAATTCAATTCAGTGACCGCGGCAAGGATGTGTTTGGTGAATTTCACATGAAATCTTCCCATACCACAATAGAGTAAGCTCAGAGCCATCTTGAATAAATGTAGAAAGTAAGGTGAAGCTAAAACCCTCTGAATTATTGAAAGTTACGGGCCCTGACGTTGATTTCCTTGACCGATTATCCTCTGGTAACCCGAAGAACATGATCCATTCTTTTCTAAAGAAGAGCCACCTCTTAATTGTGTTTGTTTTGGTCAACCATCATCAGGGGCTCTAAACTTGAAAATTGCATAGTAACCGTTATTGTGTCGTCAATGCACGGATACATAACAAACAATACAAAACAATGACATTTTACCGAAAGCTGAGGAAACTCAAAAACAAAATCATAGCCGACGTTCAAACAGTCCGAATTGTCCTCTTCATTGTCACCTTTTTTTGCTTTATTCCGTTAACTAATGACGAGTTGAACAATTGGCAGTTAGCTAGCCACCTCACCTCATCCCTCTTTAGACAACTAAGACGTCTTTGTTGCAGGTTGGACGGTAATGGTAAATTGAGCCGACTCACCTTCTGCGATCCTTTACGCGACCCCTTCGTGAATCTCCCACCGGAAAAAATTGTGGAACTGTACAAAGCTTATCTCAAGTATGGAAGAATTCTCAGAGGTCCGGTCAATCAAAAAGAATATAAATTGGTGCCTGGTGATGTGATATCGTTCAATAACAACCGCCTGTTTCATGGCAGATCCGCCTTCCAAGTCACTGAGACTTCAAACCGCTCCTTTGAGTTGGCTTACATGGACTGGGACACTCAGTGTTAATTCAAAGCTGCGAGTTCTTGCGAAAAACTTTCATATACCACTCGAACTGTAATAGAAAAAATCAATGGTAGATCTTCAATTGTGGAGGACAGTTCCTTTTTTGTTACCTCCTGAACCCTGCGCAATATCATTTTATATCAGAAGGCTTACAAGAGAATATGAAATATTTTCTTGATGGCTTATTGTTATATGACAAGACAGTCTTGAGATAAATCCGAGCATTCTGATTGGTCCTTACTTAACTTGGATTTTTCTACACGGACTGTTTCCACGGAAATGGTCATAAGCCGTGAAGTTTTGTTCTCGAAAGCTGGAAAATTCAAACGAAACAAATTCCACCCAAGTGATATATATTGCACTACTTACTAACCTGGCTTGCTAGAGCCGTACTGCGTAACATCGGCCCATAGTCGTTTTCATACAGATCTTGCTGTGCGCAGTCCATGCTGCCACAATCTCGGATTTAATATTAAAAAGTTCAAAGGTTCAACACACCCTCCTTCCTGTTAAGCAACCCCGGCCCCCGGACATTTGAACTTTTGAATTTTGGCTAGGTCAAATTCCTGCCCAATTTGTTTGTAAAAAACAAAATCAGCACCTGTGAATTTCTACACACAGGCAAAACCTTAAAACTTAGATCTTGAAGACCTTTATTCTGAGCCATTCACCCCTGAAAGTGAACTATTTACCCTAAAGGATCGTAGTCAACCCATTCAAGCGCATGCGTACCATTTGAATATCTTGAGGTCTTAAATTATAGTGGCAGTCTTCTGAAATTTTCAGTGGTTTATTCTGGGTAGTTCTTCTAGTGGTTCCTCGCAATTTTCTTGGGAAAATGTTTGGTAACTGGGACCATCGATGGCGTCTCTCGTTAAGGCCTAAGGCCACGGAGCAGACGAAAAGGATTCTGCTCCGAGAGCCCACCTTCAACCTGTGGAATGACAAGAAGGATAGTCTTGGCATCAAGCGTCTAACTAATAACCAATTTGCAGAGATTTTGCTGCATCAAAGCGTCGACAAGTTTCGCGCGAGATACAGGTCGTAAGAAGCAAATGACCCGTTAGTATTGACGGGACTACACCAGGGCCGTAGCTAGCATGAGGCAAGACGAGGCAATTCGGCCTCGTCTTAATTTTGGCCTTTTTTTCATTTTTTTTCTTAAAGATTGACTTTTCTGAAGAAAAATGCTACGGAAAATCCTTAAAAGAGCATTTCTAAACCTCTAGATTTCAAAGTTATCTGGGGGGCATACCCCCAGACCCCTCTAGCGGCTCGCGCCTTCGGCGCTCGAAACTTGCCTCGTCTTGTCCTGAAATCTGGCTATAGCCCTGACACTACTCCTGCTATTATCAAGCGATTTTAAACTTCTGCCATAAGAAATAGGCTCTGACTAGGATATATGTTTAAATGACTCTCCTCGATGTGATGAAGTGCGTTGGTTTTAAATAAGGTACCATTTCCCCATTAGTATGTAATTGAGGTTAGGTAAAGTAAGATGATATTGTGTTACAAAAGGCAATACTTTCTTCTGTGTGCTATTTTCTTTCCTTTTGAGTGGCCCTTCTCTACAGATAACAGCAGATATATATTTCTCCAAAACTTTGTCGGCTATCTTCTATTCTCTTCTTTAAGCGTATTTTGAAACTCTGTACGTTTTTATTACACGTAAAGCGCGACAGGTTTGTTCTTAGGATGTGTAACCCTTTTCAACAAATCCTTTCTTTACCCCTAGCAAAAGGTGTCGATGGGCCAGATTCCCCTTCCTAGCCAGGCAAGGTTCGAATCCCCCCCCCTCTCCAGACATGGACGATAGTAAAATGCCCGTGGGTTGCGGAGGGGGGGATATTGAAGCTTCGAATTGATCGTTGCATAAGACTGAGTAGAAATCTTATTCAGGTGATACTAACTATTATTGAGCTGTTTCATCAGATCATTTGATCGCAAATCAATTTCATCCAGAATTTGGGATGACACTTTTGAAAGCTAAGAACGTCTCTCTGTTAGGAGTAACTATTCCCAGCGGTGACTTCATCAAAACTTTTCAAAGTAAAGGAGCTTACAGAAAGAAAATTTGCTTTATTTTACGTACAGATTTCCGCATATCCCCATACTAATTTTGTCAAATCTGGTGTTGTTCCGGTACCGCTCAGCGACCATTTTCTGGTATTTTGCATAATCAAAGCTGGTATTTTGCATAATTAAAGCTGGTATTACAGCAAAGGCTAAACCGAGAATACTCGAGTATCGCTCCTATAAAAATTTCAATCCGAGTTTATTTAATGATGATCTTAGGGATATTCCCTGGCATATTGTTGAAAATGGGGACAACGTCGACGATGCCTTGTTTGTGTGGAACAAAATGTTTTCGGAGGTTGCTGATCAACACGCACCAGTGAAACGAAGGCGTGTCAAGGGAACGCCTCTTCCATGGATGAACAGTCAAATAAGTGATACTATGAAAGAACGTGACTGGGTGCATAGAAAGGCGCGAAAATCGAACTCGGCGCGTCTTTGGTCAATGTATGCAAAGCTTAGGAACAAGGTTAATGGCTTAGTACGTACTGCCAAGTCTAAATATTACAGTGACATGATCGAGGAAGCAAATGGTAACTCAGAAAAGGTGTGGAAAGCAGTGAACGAAGCATGCAATCGGAACTCATCTTCAGAGAGTATTCAGTGTATTATCTCTGATGGCGTTCAGCATATAACATCCCAATCCATTGCTTCTTCAATGAATAGCTTCTTTGCTTCCATTGGTCGAATTCTAGCAAATAGAATACCGACTTCCGCCTTGAATTTAAATTCCATTTCAAAACACCCGCTTTTCCAGTTCGATTTGACTGAATTGGATCAATCATTTGTGCTTGAGCAGCTTTTGTCATTGAAGTGTTTNATGATTCCATTTTCTTAATGAGCAGTGGTGGACTAACAGAGTCAAATACCTTACTCACGTCAGAGGATAATATTCCTACAGCTTTTCTACTATCTAGATCCAGCTTCCATTTCTCAACTAGTCTCAGTAATGTGGTTTCACATCCATTGTTCTTTCGATAGGCTGTCAGGCTATTGCTAAGTTTAGGATCCATATACTCTGTAAACTGCTTTCCCAATAGTTTCTCAAACAGCTTATCGAGGGTGGGTAAAACTGTAATTGGTCGATAATTCTTCACTTCTTCTCTGTTGTTACTCTTGTAGACAGGTACCCATACCCCTCTCTTCCAGTCAGATAACCATGTCCCTTGTTCAATGCTAGTATTGAGAATCCTG